ACAGCACTTTGTTCAAGCGAAGAGGCGTACTTCACGGATCAGTCCGAAGGGCACACAGTGCAAGTACTACGCGGCCAGTGCACGAGTACCCAAGTCCTTCAAGTACAATTTAGTGGAACGACTGTCTTCCTCTATGGTCTGGACTCTGGCTACTACTGGGGGAGACTGGTCCGAACTGGGAGTGGTTCCTTGGCGTTGAAACAGTGTATCCGCCACTGTGTGCCTGCGTGTCAAGTGCTACGGCACTACACTATAGCCTACGACAAAACCCGCTGAGCGGCTGACTAAGCCAATACGGTGCTACCGGGTGCTAGCGTGAAACATTAAAATCGACGCCCTAGAGTCATCGCTATCATGTGCCGGGATTGTACTCTGATCAATACTAGATGTTTCTAGTGATCCGACTCGAAGATGCATTAGGCTATCTCCGAGGTTATGCTCTTGACGACAGATATGTCGCCCTTCGCCCAGTCGGCCCCTTGGCTAAAGCATCGAAGTATGGTCATGGTGGTTGCCGACCCATCTTTCTAGTGAAAACTTTTTCAGGTCCGAAGAGGAGCGCCTTCTCAGAGGCTTCTGGCGCTTGCGTAGTGTCAACTCTGGAAGACCTGTATAGCTGGCGGTAAATCTTATCAGGACCTCCACGATTTATATGTCGATGACTCGTGCAGGAGAAGCAATTCCGAGCATCTAGAAGCACATTCATCAAATCGTGGCGAGTCGATTGGGTGCAATTTGACAACACACATCGATGATAGACCAAGCAGGCAGTTTCATATCACATCATTCCTACAGCTACAAGAGTTTGCGACCCGAATCGTTTTCGCTGTTGGTGAGAGCTGTGACCCCTTGAATGTGCGTACAACCGGTGTATGTGCCTCCGTCAGTTACTACATCACTGTCTGGATGCCTTCAAATCTCATTATTATGAGTATGACATCAAAACGTTGACGAGTCCAGCTTGCTTTCAAATTAAATAATTCCCTGACTGTCGTGGACTTGGAGAGCCTCTCGAGTGGAATGAATAGGAGTCTTTATTTGGTTTTATTTGATAGTATGACATGACCCGCAAGCCCCTATACTTGCGAGTCTCAACCTCCCTCTCGCACCATGTCTTCCATCGGCAACGCTAACGATATGTTCAGAAACTTTGAGAGACTTAGCCGTACGTTCAACAAATTTTTTACATCAAATTATACATGTTGATGATGATTTGAACATATCTAGCAAAAGTTCAGGAGCCTACTGAAATGTTCCCCCAATCGGAACGACAATCTATCTCACGGCATGATGATGGTCTCGAGCGGGACGAATTGTCAGACGGATCTGAATACAACCCGAAATCCCGCGATACTAACCGTCCAACTGTAAAGAAACCGAAGGGATTCAATGTGTAAGTATGGACATATACCTCATGGGGAATTCTGTATTAATCATCTGAGAAGGGGTCGACAAAGGGGTGGAAATAAAATGAAACTCGACCGCAAAAAACGAGCATTGGTTCGTGCACTCGCAGAGCTTGATAATTGGGACCACAAAGAGATTGCCGCCGTCTTCGATGTATCGCTTCTTCCCATCAAAAGGACCGTGGCCAACGACTATCCCTCGGTAGACGACAAACCATGGGAGGATGCAAAATTTTATGAGAAGAGTGACCTTGAACAGTTGATTTCGATGGTCAGTCTTGAAAATTGTGTCTCTCGAACTCATGCATGACATTCGCAGCAGCTGTCGGCTGCCAAGGAGACACAGAACAAACAGAACAAACCCAAGAAACAGGTATTATCAGTCGTGATGTCAACGCATGTTTCTCATGAGGTATCTTATCGAACACTAGGACAGAACATATGTGAGATCCCCCAAGAAAACTGTAGTTGCCGCTTCCCCTCCTGCATCGGCTCCTATGGAGGTAGAAGTTCGCTTGTTCAATCATGATGTTGCAGTCTCATATGTGCCCAACCTGTCAGCCGGATTCAAATACAACGTGCAGCATATTCAGGACGTTTCGAAACGAAGCGATACTTGTTCATGGGGAAAAGGTCCATTCGATACTTGAGGAAATTGGGATTGAAGATGACGAGACAATGTTCGCCGTCCTGATCATGGATGATGAACGGTTGAACGGCATGCTACAAGAGGCCAAGCGTCTCAACCTCGTGGAGAAGTATTCCGTCATTCAAGCGCTGAGAAATTTTGGGGAGAAGCACAAAATAGCGAGGTAGAACGTTCATGATCGATGTTTCCTATTCGGATCATTCCGAGTCAATGAGATCGTTCACAGGTGATTTATTTGTTACCGCTACATGTTGCAACTTCATTATCACAAAGACTTTGGGCATATTTAGCCTCTTCCTTCCATCCGCACTAATATGACATTCCATCTCCGAGATGCTAACAGAAGGAATCATCACATGACTGACGACTCCAGCTTCGACTAGCTCGAGAGTTGCTGACACGATCTAATTAGGTTGGGTTGGACCGAGCGTTAGCTCGGGATGGGACGCAAGCAGGTGGAGCCGCTCGGGAGGGCGGGATACCTGCTTACGAGTTCGATCGTGCCACAATTCTTCAAGGAGTGGAAATGGGATGGTAACAAATTGACGAGTAAGCTACCAGAGATCTGACTACGAAGTATTACGGTTAAAACTACGGTGCAGCGAAAATACATAGGAGAGTGGTGGGTGGGCTTAAAGAAGGACTGTTTGAGCGAGTGAGGAGTTCAGTGAACGACGAACTTCGATGTCGTAGGAGGAAGGAAAACGAATGAGTAAGCGAATAGCGCTGCCGCTCAGCTGGACGCATGGTGCCGGGATATTCCGGCAGGCTGCATTACCCGGCACCTGGGCATTACCTCGGATCTTAAAACTTTTCTTACGACGCTAAGAGAGGCTCAGGCGCGGTGGTCGCTCTTTCGGTTTACACAATAATGATGCACATATTGCATGCTTCTGAGCTTCCTTTATTCAACCCGCCTGTAGAACGGAATTCCAGAGAATTGAAATGTTGTCGGTAAGTGGAAGCTGAGTACTGCCTAGACTCGACGATGACCAGTCTGACGTAGGTCTTTTGAGAGTGGCCTGCATATGAATCATTGAAGTACTCCACCGAATTCAATCTCCATATTGAGTGCCCCTTCGACGAATGGGGAAATATGATATTAGGGATATTCCCATTCAACGTGTGCTTACAAAGCATAAGTACCAGACTTCTATTTTTACTCGTTTGCTTCTGTCAATTTCAAAAGAATCTCGGTCACGGGTAGGTATTGGGCGTTGCAACGTTGAACATTTTGCTCCCCTAATCGGTTCAATAACGCCAGGACTTCTTTCTTTTCAAATTTCAGCGGAAATGAGCGTTTGCATGTCCCCTGGGCCAGTCTGGCTATCGTCGTGGCAAAGGCGCAACTTAAGTCTAGTTGCAGTGGGCCTTCCCGGATGACTCATGACTCCATTTGTCGTTGCATAGACTGAACTCGTGCCTGTATACTTTCATTATTTACGAGAACGAGAACGTCCGGGGAATGGCTACTCCAGGGCCTAGGCTTAGGCGTAGGGTAAGTGGATTTAGCTTCGCGCTCGTCGTGGTGGATAGTCTTAGCACATCACGAGTTTTGTCAAGTCACAGTTGGTATGAAGAAATCTACAAATACATCGAATTTGAACTATTCCATGTTGGCTCCATGCATGAAATAATTTAAATCATGGATGTCATTCCACCAGGCAAATGGAAGAATCCGGCAGAATGTCAAACTACAGGACTAGATCTCTGCTGGCCCCTGGGGCCTTGCACCTATAACGATAGACAGTACATCATATTGCTCTCTCTGTATCCAGAAAAATATTAGCCTTCTTCACCCCACGATACTAGTAACCTTTCTCGATCGACTCAAAGCAACTGCACTTCCTCTGGCACTCGCAAAGTAGATTGTACAGCCTGTACCATCTCGTATATCGGTAGACACGTTTAAAAGATTCGAGCGAATCTTTGTTACCATATGACTCATCAGAAGGCCGTGGCTAATGAAAAGCCAATTCGTCGACATCATGCGACACCAGTGCCCAGCCAGGCATCGATGTCAGCACCACCAGTCCACTACACGCATCTCAGATCTCAGACTCAGAACAACAACAACGATCTTGCAGGTCCTGAATCCATATCACTTGATGAGATTGAGGTAGCATTTGCCCTACTGGAACACAACAAAGAAGCCATGGAATGAGTGCCGGTTGACGGATTGAATGAAGTGTTGGAAGGCCAAGTTTGTGATTGGAGCATGTTGACCGAGCGAGGTCTTCTGTCGACGATGAGATCATGATAGTTGACCATAGCTCACATGAAGAATCTAGTGGGGTGTAGACACGCTGACTCGGATGCTCTTCTAACGGTGTCCCCTGACACTTACCATACACATGGCCTCGTGGCGCTGTAAAGTTTGCCGAGCGGCAGAAGTACCAACAATTCTGCCACATCTGCTGATAGTCAAACCGGCACAATTGTTCGCCCCAGAATTCCCAATCACCACTATTCGAAGAAAAGAAGGGAGAAGTTAAGATTAAGTCAATAGACCCGGGTATGCCAGTCTCCGAGTCATGACTCTCGTCAGGGCGGAAAATTATCCCCAATATCATATTTTCTTGTTCAAGGGGCGCTCAGTAGTTCGGTAGCATAGCCAGATGATTTACATGCAGGCAATGGTTCAACTCACCACTGGCAGTTTTTCTGGAATTCTGTTTGGCAGGCGGGTGTTGAACGTTGAACGTTGAATAAAGGAAGCTCAGCAGCATGCCATATGTCCACCATTATTTTGTAAAACAGAAAGTGTGACCAGCTCGCCTGGGCCTCTCTTAGCGTTGGAGCCTAACCGTAATCAAAGATAAGATCCGAGGCAGTCGTCAGTTATGCGGTGATTCCTGCTGTTACATCTCGGAGATGGTATGAATGGAAGCAAGCCAAACATACCCCTATGATTATGAAACCACAACACTTGACATCATGCCTGGACCAACAGCTGGGGGACTTGCTCTCACTGTCCAGGGTCAGGGCTAACGGCAGCGAACGCTCGTCGTATAAAAAGCCTGTAATGTACACTGTTTTCTCCAGTTCATCCTCTTTACAATCAGGTTAGAGATCAGCCTTGCATATCATCGTTGTCTGACATGACCCCACAGAAACAACATGTCTTACACAATCGTAGTCAGAGTCATCGACAACACCCATAACAACTCCAATTTCACGCTCGCCGAGAAAACTGTGTGGCACTACGCCAATGGCGGGAGGTGGTCCAACACAGACTCGATCCAGACACTCACCATGGGGGGCAGTGGGACGTCTGGTGGGCTCCGCTTCATGTGCGGTACCGGGGAGGAGTTCCTCGTGGTGCTAGGCATCCACAACTACAAGAGGTGGTGCGACATCGACACTGACCTCGCACCTGGAGACACGGGAATGAAGATCCACCCCGAGTACTACACGGACGGCAGCCCTCAAAACAAGTTGCTGTGGGATCAACTGTCTGAGATCGAGAAGACTAGCGCAAAGGGAACCAAGGTGAATGTGAAGTACGTCCAGGAGGCAGCAGACGGAAAGTCCTTCGTCGTTCACATCACCATTTCTTGAATATCTTGAAGTTGTTCATACCTTTCTCGTACCAAAGCAGTTGTTGAAAGGTGGCGTAGGATGCAGAACGAATGTACTAGCAGTATGTAAAGATGAAGTCAATATCTTGATGATGTTTTGTTTGCGGAATACAGTGAATTTACACAATCAATGACGTACCGTCTGCTGCAATGCGTTTGTAGATGATATATGCAATGTACATTGTCGACGAGATCTACGCGTGCTCAGTTTTCTCCAAGCCTTCTGTTTGGTACGCTTTGCCAATTCCGCGTCGTATTCTGCGACAAATCTGTAGTTGTCGCTTCTCCTTTTCCATCGGTTCCTATGCAAGTAGAAGTCAATTCGCTTGTTTGATCATGCTGTTGCAGTCTCATGCGCACCCAACCTGGCAGCCAGATTCAAATACAGCATATTCTAGATGTTCCGAGATGAAGTGACACTTGTTCACGGCGAAAAGGTTCATTCTATCCTTGATGCAATTGGGATTGAGGATGACGAGACGATGTTCGCTGTCCTGACAATGAATGATGAACATTTGAATTGTAAGTAGACTACAAGAAGCCAAGCGTCCAACTTCATGAAGAAATATTCCGTCATTCAAGCGATGAGAAATTTTGGGAAGAAGCACAAAATAGCGAGGTAGAACGCTCGCCTTCTATGATTGTCATTGCAGCGTTCAAATGGTCGTCCAAACCATCCGAAAGAGAGTATAAACGGTTATCTCATGTCAAATCATGGAGCTCACGCCTTCAGATCTTTCTCTATCAACCCCTAGTAGACTTTGGGTACTACTCAAGAGTTAATGAACACTCTTTGTAAGCTTTCTCGGGCGTGAAGCTGGAATGTGTATGCCGGGGGTCTCATAGAAACGGTTCCATTCCTGGATGAAGCAGTGAAGAGGTTGTATGCTGTCGGAATCCGAGAGATATGGAACAGGATTGGAATTTCTGAGTTGACTTTAGTTGAGGAAGATCGGCGGGCAACAATTGCAAGAGCAGGCCGTGCCAATTAGCAAATCGAATGCACATGTTACGTTCAGAATTCGGCTTAGAAATCACAAAGGATAGGTACCGGTAGGTGATTGAATACTAGGATAAGGTAAGTTGGAAAGAAAGTGGGCGCTCAGCACTGCGGGCGCCGGGGACGAGGTATATACAATTGTAACTCACCGTGAGAATTCATCTTGTATCAAAACCGCGCGGCCTAACTCGGAGGACGCTTGGCGATGCTTCTTTTAAGGAGGTGCTACGGGTAGAGCACTATTAGTACTCTACCACAGATGTCGTTCAAGCGTAGTCTTTACTATGACTGTCTTTGGCCTCTTTGAGGCCGTCTCACTGCATTGGTGGTGACTAGGGAAGAGTTGAGACTACCTCAGGCCCACTCAGGCTGTGGGCGGCTCGCGAATAAAGAAGTTTTGTTGTACAGCCCAAGTAGTATAAGTCGTGACCGCCTCCAGGCGTCAGCGCTTCAGCCTTGTTGGAGCCTTTTACCTCTGACCTTCAAGAATCAGGAATGCCAGAATCACATCTAACGCCTCCCGCTCAAGGGCAACAAGAAAGGTATGTCCTTTGCCTTCCACAAGATCTATGAAGTTCAATGCGTGTTGTGACTATAGCTCCGAATTCTTGTTACGCCAAATTCTCGATGTGCTAAAGCAGTCGACCATTGCTAAGAAACCACACCCATCGGAGAACTGGAATGGTTTTTGGGATGTATACGATCAGGAAGCAGAAGAGTTCGACAAATCATTCGTTGAGAAGTATGCCTTGGATTTAGACAATAGTCTAATTTTCGTAAGCTTTTCTGGCCGATGGAATGAATCTCTATCTGTTGACCAAGCGTATCTTTCAGGCAGGTCTTTTTTCGGCCGTCAGTGCCACTTTCTTAGGGACAATGCTCCCTAACCTGAGCCCCGTTCCTAGCGACACGACAATAGTCTCTCAGCCAGTCTTCTAGCTGCTCTTGGAGCCGTCTTGGGCAAGCAGTGGCTGAGGGACTACCGAGACAACACACGAGGACCTCGTGAGTCTCGTCGCATCAGGCGGCAGCTCAAAGTCGACGGGCTCGAAACGTGGCACTTTGAAGCCGTCCTCCTTGCGATACCTGCATTACTGCAGCTTTCTCTGCTGCTCTTCGGCACGGGTCTTGGGGCGTATCTGTGGGCCCAGCAACGCACTGTGGCTGCTGTTGTCGTTGGAACAACGTCCTTCGGTGCCTTTTTCTATATCGTGGCCTCCATCAGCAGCCACCTTGATGTTAGCTGCCCTTTTACGACGCCGGCTCTTGCACTCTTATGTCATAGCCTGAGCGCGATTCGATCGTTCATATTGACCTACTTCGATCTTCCGTTTTCCTTGCTAGCTCGCAGTATTCCTCTCAACAAGTGGAGCATTGTGTGGCGTCTCATCGCTCTTTCTCTTCTTCCACTCATATTTTACATGTGCCTGCAGTATGTTTTCCCGTTCACTCTGTTGTTGGCTCTTACGGGGGCGTTATATTTCTTAACGCCTCCTGATGGCCAGCCAGTTGTCGATGCATCACGCTTCGTGCTCTGGCTTTGCCGGACATCCCTCGATCCCGATGCCGTATCCACCGCTGCAAAAAGGATTCCTGATGTCACTTTTCCCATTGATGGTCTCGAATCATGGACAGTTTGGGGAAAACTTTTCAGGCTAGTTCGTGACGGGCTCAGATATCACTCTCCATCCCCTGCGATCTTGATATATGCGAAAGCATTGACTTCTCTGTATTTTACTGCCCGCATAAGCAAGAATCGGTTTTCACCATTTTTTAGCCAAGTCGTCAACACTAAAGACCTAGAAACACTTCGTGTAGATGTGCACTCCAGTCATGAAGCGACATCATTGTGCTTTGTGTTGACTGTGCTTCAGCGATGGTTCAACGTCGTCAACAACTCATGGTTTCGTGGGATGCAAGAAGGAAAGGATATCATCAACGCGCTTGGCCCAGCCATCAATCTCGATGACGTACCCAACGATACTCTTGAATGGTTCTTGTATCCTCTATTACATGGCCTTTGCGGAGCGCCACTGCCATGGTACAATGAGGACGACCATCGCTGTCGCTTGTTTTTGCAACCCCTGGCGATCTATATTATCCGCAGGCTGCTGCCTATCGATCGATCACGTCCACTTCCTTCCCGCAAAGCCATTATGAGATGTCTTCAGATCATGATCGCGATCCTCGATTGGCGGTCGATCGATCTCAAGGCAATCAAAACTACAGATAATAAGTACTAGACCTGACCTCGATGTGGAATAAAGGCTGATCATCGAATGCATGCAGTGACAACATTGAAACAATCTTCCCCCGTGTCCTTAATCTTTTGCTACGTCCAGATATCACAGACGCAATTCAAGCTGATCCCATCGATGTACAACATCCCGAAGTGACGCGCTATAGCATGTTTTTGCGTATCGCTCAATTCATTTTCTCAACATCACCAAGGGCGCGCACTTTTTCGGCATATGAGGTCTCGCATTTTAGAGCCATACTGGAGCCTTTAGCACGCCTTGCCAGTGAAACAGAATTCAAACATCATTTCCAGAATAACGAGGTGGAAACATGGAGCATCAATGTCTTCGAAGCCACCGTACCTCAAAATATTGAAGACGCATCTACCCCAGCACTCTGCCTTCATGTGTGCTGCTCTATTGATAACCTTTTCAATTCCGATGTTATATACTCTGAAACGATCTGGAGTTCATGTCGGGCAAATGCAGACGCTTCCGTGCTGCTCGATTATCTCGATCAAGCCCATACCCGACCGTGGCAGCCAGACTTGAATTCGGACACCGCATCCCATCTCCCTCCCCGCAGGTGGCTGGACGCGAATTTCCAAAATAACATCGCAACTGCATATGCATTGCTGATGCTTTCCACCGAGGATGCCATCTTCACTTCCGGGACAACAACTACGATAGTGCGCAGCAATATCTCCGCAATGCAGCACAAAGAACACCCTCTTTACAGACACGTTGGGCTGAAGGTAGCTCACGTTTTCAAAGACCATCTGGTGAAAATCACAGATGATGTCCGCGATGAACTCCTCCCAGCCTTGCGTTCCGCAACCTTTCAAAATATCCAGAACGATACCATCACGCCAGATGACGCATCACCAGATCGATTCATCTATCCAAAGCGCGATCTTCATTATTTGGAAGTACTTTTCGCCCTTGCAAATAGCGAGTATTGGCTCTCGCAGCTCCGCCAAGACAGCTGCGGCCACATGCAGCGGTGTATTTCCATAGCCAAAGCTATCCATACACCGTCTCATAATGAAGATTACAGAGAACTCTCACTACGACTGGTCCTGATATTTGCCCGCATTGCTTGCGTTGACAATTATGTCTGGCCAGAGTGGAGCGCCTGGTTTGAAGCGCGCCCGGACAACCAGGCACTGCTCGTCAAACAAGCTTGGGAGCCACAAATGCTCAGCGAGTGTCCTGACGTCATCCCTCTTCTCATCGCGTTCACGAACAAGATGCTGTCGAGTCTTAGAGGTGTGAGCGAAGAAGGCTTGGCGATGCTTCCTAAGGACACGGTGATTGCGGCCTTGGATGGCATTTCGAAACAGGTGCAGATGGTGGTGGACGCTCGTATGAATGCAGACGAGATGCAGAATGCTTCGGAAGTCCTCGGTACGGAGGTGGTGGATGCTCGTATGAATGTAGACAAGAGGCTGGAGGTACTCCGCACGGAGGTGGATGAGCTGTTGAGGCATTTCGGTGCGTAGTCATTGATATTGAACAAGCGCTGGCATAGGATCTTGTAAATGACTAATTATACATAAGTTACTGAGATAACACTCTTGACGTCAAAAGCTCTTCAGCCGTGTCGATGATTTCGACTCCCGCCTTGTCCATCTCAATCCATTCTATACCGTTATCAGACACGCTCCTGACCGCATCCCTGATCACAAATGTCCTGAACCCGTATTTCTTTGCATCGAGTGCAGTAGACTTGACGCAATAATCTCCCGCTATGCCGACCACGAAAACATTTGATATTTCTTTGTTCCTCAGTTTGTCCTTGAGTCCAGTGTTTGTGAGTCCCCACGGGTCTTCGAATGCAGAATAGCACTCGATCCCGACATCGCAGCCTTTACGGACGACCTCCAGGCCCTCATGCTCCAGGCCGTCCACAAATGCTACCCCAAAAGTGTCCTGAACGCAATGAACAGGCCACAGCACCTGTTCTAGCCCTTCAAGGGACCTTTCATCCTCAAGCGTCCTCCCTACTACCAACTCTGCGGGAGGAAAGATGACGATCTTGTCAAATTCCTTCTTGCCCTCATGATTGCGCGCAAAGGAGATGTGGTTAGCGGGGTGATAGTCTTGGGTGGCAATTTTAATAGCGAATGGGAGCTTCAGGAGTGCGTTGATGGGACTGATGACTTGCTCTGCATCGCGGACGGCGAGACTGCCACTGACGAAGTCGTTCTGTACGTCGACGACGATTATGGCAGAGTTGGAGGGTTCAACGTTTGCAAGGTCTAGTGGCATCTTGTTATTGGTGTGGTCTATGGTGAGTTGCTATTGCGTTGTATACTGATGCACATGGCTTATCGATCCAATGGATTGTCCTGTCAACGGAACATGTTTCATTTCGGCTGTAGTAAGTATATATCAAATCGTACTGTGATTGGGCCAGGTAAAATTGACGCGCGCCTGCCGCGATCGTGACGCGCCTGTGACGCGGCACTGTAACATGGTTTTCAGATGCAGTGTCAAGTGTTGTCTCACTGCGTCAAGCCTCAACCTCACCCTGTCAAGCTTTCAAGTTCGATCCACTCTGCACCACCACGTCAAGCGACTCAAGCTCCAACGTTCAACGTTAACCATGGCCGCATGTCAGAAACCTATCAGTGCCGCGTCAGCGCTGCGTCACATGCGCGTCATGCCGCGTCAAATTTAAACCTCACCACTTCAACTGTCACACTGTCCTTAAGAAACCCTTATCGCGCTTTTGTAAATCGTATCATGGCCTTTGTAAGTGCTTTGAAATATGGAGTGCTGTGATTACGTCACTACGTGGCTGCATTCCCAAACTTGTGTTCCCCAACATATGCATCATCTTCGAGCTCTCTTTTTTGATGCTAGTTCCTACACAAGCTTTTGCTAATCTTAACTTTTACAGAATCATTCCCACTCAATGCCAGAGGTCTGCAAGAAGCACGAGAAGATCTTACACGGCAGAAAAACAATATCGAGATGCACTGTTTGAGCTCTGTGCTGAAATTGGTGTGGGGAACTACGTCCCAGGGGCATACATGTGCAACGGGTCTGCGACAATCCGACGCAATGATGAACTGATCTATGAGCGTGTATCCTATCCACTGTTACTAATTTTCAGCGATTGATGGCGGACCGTCACCATGGTTCGGTAGATGTTCACTGAGGAGTGACGAGTTCCGAGAAGCCATAGCGTCCATACTTGGACTTAAGCTCGCGTTTTACCCCCGGGTGTCCGTCATCAACATCCTGGAAACTCCACAAAATCAAGCCCCTCTTTGCCTATACCTGACTGACGTTAGGATGACATCATACCTGACTCGCCTCATGGACAAGCTGCTGGGAACACAACAAGGATGGATGAAGCAACAAAGAACCGAGATATTCCTGAATCCTGACGGGTCGAGAAAGATTTCGAGGGAGTGAAGTATCATTTTCAGGCCAACTTGAAACGCCTTCCTGTCTACTATGCATGAATGCATTCTCATTTCCCTACCGATGTCCACGACATCTTAAATGGTGCTATTGTAGCAGTCAAATTCACTATCATACGGCGCTGGAAGGTCAAAGGTGTGAATGGGAATTCACCTTTCATATGCCAAACCTGCAGATCGTCCACAGTCACACTGAATAACGACATTTCCCGCTTCCTCGTCCTGACCGCAGAAAGGCCATGGGGAGCTGCGACGAAGTTGGAGATGATCGATTGGACTGCACGTTTGTGATTGAATGCTACAACAGATGAGTTAACAATACAAGGTCATCGCCGGCGACGGCGCCTAGTAATTTAAAGGGGTAGTCTCATTTATGACTCGGGTATACATATCGTAAATGGGTTGGCACGTTAACAGATATAGTACTAGAACATTTGCAATAAAACGAAGTTACAGAAAATAAAACCGTGCGGAGAAAGTAAGCCAAACCCCTAATATCGTGTGTTTGCTTAAGTTTGTTTGTTCTGCTGCTTTTTAGCCTTTGACCAAGTATAGCTTGACAGTAGGTAGATCATGCACATCTTTTATGGCGAGCAAGCGTGTTTACACTGAACTTTCGCAGTCATGTCTACCTTGTCGCAACGGATAAGAACTCGGTCAGCGAACCATTCAGAAGCAGCCAAGCCTCCATTCGAGAATAAAGTTGGAAAGGAACAGGACCAGTCGCAGGTAGTGCATGATATGCAATTGGAAGCTACGCAGCAAGCAAAGTTGTTCGATGCTCAGATACACAAGCTAAAAGTATGTTCGGCATGTTGTGATTCTTTCGATACCTCATGGTAGCCCGCCCCAGAAGGAACGTCGGTTCTTCGCCAAAGCTCGTTTCCTGTTTCCTCTCGGAATCCTACGTATGTCATTCATATGCTATCTCCTGAGATTTAATGACATTGTCACATAGTTGGGATACTATTAGGCTTCATTCTTATCCAGCCTTCGGACTTGCAAGATATTCACAGCAACCTACTTCTCATCATGGAAGAGTACGACATCTCGCTAAGAATACCGGATATTGATTTATCCCGCGTCGAATTAGAATGGAGACGTTTTCGGAACAATATCCCAGAGGTTTGGAAGCTGAACAATGATGGACGCGAGTTTAAGGTCGGGGAGGCGATGAAGGCGCGAGGCTTGACGGCGCACTATCCTATTGTGCTTGTTCCTGGTATCGTATCTACCGTAAGCCACACTGTTGATCCGCGTTCAATTGATGTTGATCACCGTCTAGGGTTTGGAATCTTGGTCTACTTCGCCCGAGTATCGACCTTTCTTCCGCGAAAAACTCTGGGGAGGCTTCAATATGGTTTCACAAGTGATTTTCAATCGTGAAAAGTGGATTTCAGCGATGATGCTTGATCCCGTCACTGGTCTCGATCCTCCAGGTGTCAAAATTCGAGCTGTGGAAGGAGTAGGTGCCGCAAGTAGCTTCATGACCGGTTATTGGCTTTGGTGCGTCTCTTATAACGCGACATTCTTATGAGCGTCAAAAGTGACGTCATATGTTCAGGTCCAAGATCGTGGAGAATCTTGCTGTAGTAAACTATGACACGAACAATCTTCACTTAGCTCCATATGACTGGAGACTCTCCATGTGGAACCTGGAAGAACGAGACGGGTACTTCTCGAAGTTGAAAGCTACAATAGAAGGATTCAAGTATGGTACCCCACATTTGAACATCGCACCAATAAGTTCATATTCTATGACAGGAAACGACAAGGCAAGAAGACCATCATTGCTGCGCATTCAATGGGTAGCACAGTACGTCCTACTTTCTTTTGTCGCTGTCACCTTGTCGACTGTCGCACTTTTAGGTCATGCTAGTAAGTCGAGTCTCTCAGATAGTTCCCCCTGTGAAACTGACTATTCGATGAAAGTACTTGTAGGTCTCAGATCTGCTCGGTTGGCGATTTCTTTATGACCTCTTGCTTGTAGCTTCAAATGGGTTGAGTCTCCCGAACACGGGGGAGGTGGATCACATTGGGTAGAGGTCAGTCGCTGTCCCCCTTATAACATGAGACCCTAAAAAACTCTGCTTAGAATCACATTGAGTCCTATATTTCCATCGCAGGGACGCATCTCGTAAGCTAAATATTCCTTTCCTCGAATTAACGATCACTAATTGCATTCCCAGGGCGTGGTAAATCCTGTTATTTGCCTTATTGTTGTTTACCGCTCATGAGTTTACTTTTTTTTGATTGTGAAAGGCAAAAGCCATGGCTGCTTTCTTGTCTGGTGAAATGAAGGACACCGTGCAGATGAATCCTGCTGGCGCATATGGTCAGCACCTTTCAGGTTTATGAGTTGCAATAATTTCATGATAGTCTGAAGTGCTCGAGCGGTTTTTCTCGCGAAAAGAACGGCAGAAGCTATTCTGTAGTTGGGCTGGTAGCGCCAGCATGTGGATTAAGGTGAGTGGGATCATCTCTTTGGCTGGGCGCCTCCGTAACAATCAACAGGGAGGAGCGGATGTTTGGGGCGATGCCAACTGGGCACCTGATGACGACCCCGAATCATCACATACACATGGTGAACTGATTGCGTTCAGACAAGCAGCTGTGCCACTTTCTGCGCATGACATCACCCAGCCAACAAGAAATATGACGGCTGATGACGCAAGCACATGGATTTTGGAGCGTACTCCGTCAACATTCCAGGTTGATGACTGTCGTGTCTTTTTTGTGAAATAACGCTCACAAAGTGACAGAAAATGATATGGACCAACTACTCGTTCGGTATCGAGCGGAATGAACGGGTGCTCAAGAAGAATGCCCTAGATCCAAGGAAATGGTCAAACCCTTTGGAAGTGCAGTATGTTGTTCATTAAAAGCCTCTTGAAACAAACTGATAAATTTTTATAGGCTGCCAAATGCGCCTTCTATGAAGATGATTTGTGTTTACGGACATGGAAAAGAAACTGAAGTACTCCCCAATGTTTTCTGTTGCATTCTACAATACTGAATCCCGTACCAGAGATCATACTGGTATGCTCATGGACCACACGATCACGAGGAATCGTTTGTAGAGGTGGATCCTTCGACTTGCACTGAGCCTACCGACAAATGCAAACATACACTACGCCCACCACTAGATTCGTCATTTTCTAGGGCGAACTGGATAGATTCTGATTACACGCAAGAGACCACGACGCCCAAGGTAAGTTAGCAACTTCAATCAAACCCAACGTCATATGTAGGTCGATTATAGGTGCGTAATGGCGTGAAGATGGGTGAAGGGGATGGTACCGTCAGCCTATTGAGTCTGGGAGCAATGTGCGTAGAAGGCTGGAAGAGACCAAGATGGAATCCGGGAGGAATCAAAGTTACTACTGTTGAGGTACGTCGGACGTTCTCTCGGATCCTGCGATATCCCTCATGCCCTCAAATACAGCTTCCTCATCAACCCGCTTCTAACATCCCTCGGGGTGGAGCAAATACGTCGGATCATGTTGACATCCTTGGGTCGACAGGTCTGAATGAACTCATCCTGAAAGTTGCCACTGGTGTTGGTGATGAGGTCGAGGATCACTTTGTCTCTCGCATTAGGGAGTTTGCTCAGCGAGTGCGGTGGGATTGAACACCGAGTGTTTTGTACCTTATTTTTGTACATAATTTCACGGTCTATTTCAACGGATGATGAAATTATAGTGAGACTGACGGAGTATCATTTTCAAAGTCAAACTTCCCCTCCTTCAATTCGCCTCTCGAACAAACCTCACATGTGTCGCATGAATGGCAGCTACACTGAGGTAGGCTTGGTAATGTATTTATCTAGTTGTCCCTACCCCTCAGATCAGAGCAAGGATGCGAGCCGCTTACCAAATCCGTTCGGACTTCTATATTTAGCGACGGCCCTAGCATCTCTGACCGATATCAGGACATTCTTGACGGAGTCGCTAAACCTCTCACACCACGTTCGTGTCCTTTGCTTATCTATTGACTGTCCAAACGCGTCCCCGTTGTGTCTCTCACTGATCCGATAGTCCGTGGAACTCCGACTGATGCGGCCATCGTGTGATCATAGAACATGTTATTCAAGCGGCACTTAAGAGAGACAACAACCGAACATGCATAAGAAGAACAAAAGTGACATACAGTCTTGGGTAGGATGTGATTCTTGGTGGCCGCGATGCTCTAGAGACCGCCCTCGACCTCTCCAGCCAATCACTAGCAGTAAATTCTGGTGCACGTGACATTCACACAGTTTGTGCTCGGAGAATTATCCCGAAAGGCCAAGCACCGCTACTAACACAACTCTGCCGTCGGCTAGCGTGAGTTCGTCTACTAATCTACCCCTAGCAACATCTCCCGGAGCGATCAGCTGTAGGTCAGTGTGGTATTTTGACGACTATGGCTAGCTGATTGATGACGTGCAGAACACCTCACAGCACAACAGGGTGGATGATCTCCTGCTGATTATTCACATTGTGAATGCCAGGCTGAACCTACTTGCTTATACCCAGATTTAATACGCATGAAATTTCCATCAGCATTTCATCGGAATCATGTCATGAAATTCAGAGCCAGGGAGATCAAGTCCAGCTGCAATCAGAAACGATGACATGCAACATGTCACAGGTTAGATGTACCTTGCATTCTTACCGATCCTGCCGCTACATGAGAACTCGGATAACAACCGGTGGCGGAAATCAGGTCTTGTGAGTGGTCAGACTAGGTTTGGTTTCAATCTTCTTCCACAGATACCCATCGTTGAATGCCTTTGTCATGGGAAAGCAGGATGATGTGTTTTGTCAAGGAATATAAAACCTGAATGACTGAGAGGGAATCACGCACACTTCAAAAAATGACGGACCAGAATGAAGTCAAGGTTGAGACCCTCCTAAGCATCATCAACTCCTCCGCACGCGAAGCGATCGCGGAATACAAGAACACTGGACATGGTGTCCCTGGTGTCGACGCAGGCACCCTCCACCCCCTCGACTTCGCGACAGATACACTTGCCCTCAGAAAGGCAATCAGGCTGCTCGAGGGTGCATGCGAGCAATTGAACGCAATACTGGCTCCCCCCCAACACACAACATACAATGTAAGTTCTGATTATAGACGGCCTCATATGCCTTGTTACTTATCTTCTAGTTTGTTAACAATTACAACTGGGCGTGCATAGACGTCGCCGTGCAATCACGTATTGCAGACGTCTTGGACAAACACCCGGAAGGTCTTAGTGTGGATGCATTGGCTGACACAGTCAACCTCGACAAGACCAAGATCGCACGCGTCTTGCGAGTTCTGGCCCTCAGGGGTTGCTTCAAAGAAGGTAATATCCATCATACTGTCGGTTGATAATTTTCCCTGAAGCCTTTGGTGTTACACAGTTAAGCGAGACGTATTCGCAAACACGCGACTCTCCCTCGTGCTCAGGTCAACAAGCAACGTCGGGTCTTGTATACGACATCAGCGAGAGTACCCCAGATATGCTGCGGTTCTGTATGAGACTATGGTCGACCAAGAGTTTGCAAGATCGAATGAGGTTGAGAAGGCCCCTCGAGCATTTGCTCTCAAGAAGGAAGGCAAAAACAACGGCTTCTGGGAGATGAACGTGAGTTTTAGTCATCATACTGGCCTTTCATGCCTTACCGTAATGTATAGGATGAGGAACTCGATGTACGTGCGGATTCGTCCGTTCATGACTGACTGACGGCTCACAATACACAGACATTCCACAAAAGCATGATGGGCTATTCTGAGGTTCAGAACTCGTCTGCGGTACTCCATCGTGAGCAATCGCCGTTTTTTCAACCGTCAGCATCACTGAAGCGGGCCATAAGATTACCCTTGGGACAATGTGTCTTCTGTTGTGGATGTTGGATCTGGAACTGGAGCAATGTCTATTCCTCTGGCAAAAATGTTCCCTCATCTCAGAATAACCGATCAGGATCTCCCAGAAACTATGAAGCTGTCGAGAGATGTGAGTGCAGACATCGGGTACACGCCCAGTGGGAAAATTGTATTTATATTTGATCAGATATGGGAGAAGAAGGCTCCTGAGGCGCTGCTCAGCGGGCACGTAGAGTTCGTGCCATTGAATTTCTTGGAGGAGTCACCTGTTGCTGGAAAGGATGTTTACTATGTAAGTGCCAAGTTTGTTCTCATTCAACGCGGGCTGCTCAATGATCTGATATAGTTGAGGAGCGTCATTCATGACTGGCCAGACGATGAGTCAAGGGTGATTCTCAACAACATTCGCAAAGTAATGGGACCAAACAGCCGAGTGTTGATTCGTGAGTCGGCTGCGTTTCAAAGTGGTGTTTTGTATCAATGATTTATGATAGATGACTGCGTGCTCTTGCGCCCATTCCAAGAGCCTGCCATAGAGGCTAACCAGTCTAGTAAGGTGAGTTGAAGTTCGAGTTTAGCTTGATGGCGTGATCTTACATTCAGGATCACAAGACGCCCGAACCCACGTTGTTGAACTTCGGTAGTCACACATCACACCAACTTGACATGGCTATGTGGCTTCTTTGCAATGGCAAGGAGCGAACCTTGAACGAATTCAAGAACATTGGGTAAGTTCCTTCCATGCCTGGATACGTTGACGATGATTAATTTATTATAATTCACAGGGCAAGTGCTGGTCTAGTTCTCACCCAAACCTATGATCTTGTAGCGACGACGCTCTTGGAATTCAAAATCGCTCAGGACTGATGCCGAACACAGTCACAGTGTATAATCTTCTGTTATTGTACTTTTACCCTTCCCAATTGATTATCCCATGATTTAACCAAGATGACAACCACAAAGTGACCTTAATGCTCTGATGTATCGATCGCGATCGATCAAGACCAAGCCGGTCCTTACAGTGAATACTGAAAGCTTCTTTGTGTTCCATCAGATGTTTCTGCCGGCTCTACTGAACAATACCCATCGTGTTCTTATCCTAGACATGGTCTGCAACATCGAGACTCTTCATGCGAATGCACTTTCTACTCTACCCAGTGCTGGAAATAGACGCAGAGTCAGCTTTGTAGGTGGTTCGATCCCGTGCCTTCTGCATTGTTCACGATATCGCATTGGGTCGACCGTTTTCAGCGAACAGACATATGTGGGCTTGTACGGAACGATGCACTACCCTTCCATCCTGAAGCAGAATGAACATGAACGCGAGAGAAGTCGCCAGCTTATTCTTTGACCACTGGTATTGCGAAAATGGCCTGCCGCTCGACATCGTCTCCGACCGTGACAAGCTCTTCACAAGCAAATTCTGGAAGGCGTTAAGTTGAAGATGTCGACCGCTTATCACCCGCAGACGGATGGCTCAAGCGAACGAACGAACAAGAATGTGGACCAGCTTCTAAGATATCGGCATCAAACAGGATGGCTAGACGCACTGCCTCGAGTACGATTCAACCTAATGTCAACCATTAATGCATCCACAGGTTAACAAATTTTTCAATTACACCTGGGATGGACGTCCCGTCGACTGCCACCACTAACGCCCGACGGGGTAAGGAGAACACGGGAAATTTTTCCAGCTGACGTCGCAAACGCGCTGGAGGCTATCGTGTCCCTAAAACGGAAATTGCAGATGCGCACGGTGCTCTGCTGGCATCTAAGATCACACAAGCAAATGCGGCTAACAAACACAGAAACAACTTCGAGATCGGACCTCGTCTATCTTTCAACAGCCCACAGACGGAGGGAATACCTCAACGGCGACAACAAGAGAGTCGCGAAGTTCATGCCATGATTCGACGGCCCCCACAATATAGTATCAGCGAACCCAGAGTCGTCAACCTGTACGCTTGACTTACCTGAACATACTAATGTTTATCCAAACTTTCATGCTTCAGAACTCAAACGACATATCCCCAACGCCACCCTGTATCCCTCGAGAGAACTCCAACGCCCGTGACCGAAACAGGCTCGCAGGAGTAGGAGATCGAAAAAGTCTTGGACACAAGAAAACGAGGACGCAGGTACGGTGCGGAGAACGATGTATGGGTCACGCGACAAGATCTTGAAGGCACAGACGTACTTACTACAAGAGTACAGCGCAAAGGTGGACACGAATACTGCCGAAGAAGATAAGCAAAACGTAAAACGCCATACGGATACACACGAGGAAGAAGAAGAAACACAGAAGACGCACGAGAGCTTCGACATCAAACAACAGAAGCGATAGATGCGGAAAGACGGATCCATAGAGTCCATAAAAGATTCTTTGGGGAATGATTCAGGCTTACCAAATATTCTGCTTACGAATGCTGCGCCACTGATCGGCGACCGCTGGGGTACGCCCCAAACTTGATCGGTATGCTGCTACGTACTAAGTTGCTGGCTACATGCTCTGGACTCTGCATCAGTACTAGTGCCTTGAGGGACTTTACATTTGCTTTACATTATCGGGTCACCGTTTGAAATTCAACGACGGGGGCACTGACGCCATACTTACCTTACCCGCGATATCCGCTGACATAATCGTACCGCGCGGCGCGCGCAGACTTTGTCTGTTCGATACTACCAGACCTGCACTTCAAACATCCCTCGTATACTTTTCTTGTACATGCAGTGAAGAGCTGAATCTCTGAATTTTGGGCTAGCAGTGCCTACTTACTTATGTTTCAACATCAAGGTACTGGCATCTTCTTGCTGTCGCAACTCTACTTCGTTCTTTAGAAATTGAATTATCAAATCATCAGAGATGCATATAGTGGTGGATGCAGTCGATATATCTATTGGTTTGCGGTTTAGTATGATTATCTTACAGACTCATTGTCAAATTTTGTTTTCGAATTCCGGTTTATGATATCAGCCCACGGGAAGTCACCCATCATACAACTTGAGTTTATTTCCAACAAGCAAGTATAGTGTCGCAGCACCCTGTCGCGGGCGTCGCGGGCATCGCGGTCACAATATCGTAGCACCCCCGAAAGATGACCGCAACACCCGCGACAAAGAAATAAAAATAACATTAATGTATGCGGAGGAATCAGACTACAATGTACATCAGAGAACTGATGAACAAATGAGAAGGTTATATATAATACAGCATCACAACAATCTTTGTATATCTGCTTCGATGATATCGCCTGACCGTGACTCTGGGAGCGTGGATATACATATAAGGAATCGGAGCATGCTCGAGTACACGGCTCGTTTGGAGGACAAGTACTGGGAGGTTCCAGTGATTAGCGCTTATCAGTTAATTGGGAACAGTGGTCGCGGCAGATGCCGCATCAGCATTTTCGTGATGCCTCGATATCGCAAATCACGTCTGACATCATGTTCGTCAGACGTGCTGACCCGTATAACGTTCATAGCTTCGTCCTGTCAATTCGTCTTAGTGTTACTTGCCGTCTTCCCGGCGAGTTTCCAGTATCGGGCCACTTGTCAAGGAGTATAAAACCTGACTGACTGAGAGGAAATCATGCACACTTCAAAAAATGACGGACCAGAATGAAGTCAAGGTTGAAGCCCTTCTAAGCATCATCAACTCCTCCGCCCACGAAGCGATAGCGGAATACAAGAACACTGGACATGGTGTTCCTGGTGTCGACGCAGGCACCCTCCACCCCCTCGACTTCGCGACAGATACACTTGCCCTCAGAAAGGCAATCAGGCTGCTCGAGGGTGCATGCGAGCAATTGAACGCAATACTGGCTCCCCCACAACACACAACATACAATGTAAGTGCTGATCATAGACGGCCTTACTATATGCATTGTTACTTACTATCTTCTAGTTTATTAACAATTACAACTGGGCGTGCATAGACGTCGCCGTGCAATCACGTATTGCAGACGTCTTGGATAAACACCCGGAAGGTCTTGGTGTGGATGCATTGGCTGACGCAGTCAACCTCGATAAGACCAAGATCGCACGCGTCTTGAGAGTTCTGGCCCTCAGGGGTTGCTTCAAAGAAGGTAATATCCATCATACTGTCGGTTGATAATTTCCCCTGAAGTCTTTGGTGTTACACAGTTAAACGAGATGTATTCGCAAACACGCGACTCTCCCTCGTGCTCAGGTCAACAAGCAACGTTGGGTCTTGTATACGAACTCAGCGAGACTTCCCCAAATATGCTGCGGTTCTGTAAGAGACTATGGTCGACCAAGAGTTTGCAAGATCGAACGAGGTTGAGAAGGCCCCTCGAGCATTTGCTCTCAAGAAGGAAGGCAAAAACAACGGCTACTGGGAAATGAACGTGAGTTTTAGTAGTCATCATACTGGCCTTTCATGCTTTACCATATTGTATAGGATGAGGAACACGATGTACGTGGGGATTCGTCTCCTTATGACTGACTGATGGCTCACAATACACAGATATTTCACAAAAGCATGATGGGCTATTCTGAGGTTCAGAACTCGTCTGCGGTACTGCATCGTAAGCAATCACCTTTTTTTTCAACTATCAGCATGACTAAAGCGGGCCATAAGATTACCCTTGGGACAATGTATCCTCTGTTGTGGATGTTGGATCTGGAATTGGAGCAATGTCTATTCCTCTGGCGAAAATGTTCCCTCATCTCAGAATAACCGATCAGGATCTCCCAGAAACTATGAAGCTGTCGAGAGATGTGAGTCCAGACATCAGGTACACGTCCGGTGGGAAAATTATATTTATATTTGATCAGACATGGGAGAAGAAGGCTCCTGAGGCGCTGCTCAGCGGGCACGTAGAGTTCGTGCCATTGAATTTCTTGGAGGAGTCCCCTGTTGCCGGAAAGGATATTTACTATGTAAGTGCTGAGTTTGTTCTCATTCAACGCGGGCTCCTCAATGATCTGATATAGTTGAGGAATGTTATTCATGGCTGGTCGGACGATGAGTCAAGAGTAATTCTCACCAACATTCGCAAAGTAATGGGACCAAACAGCCGAGTGTTGATTCGTGAGTCGGCTGCGTTTCAAGTGGTGTTTTCTCTAGAATCAACGTTTTGTGATAGATGACTGTGTGCTCTTGCGCGCATTCCAAGAGCCTGTCGTAGAGGCTAACGAGTTTAGTAAGGTGAGTTCGAGTTTAGCTTGATGGTGTGATCTTACATTCAAGATCATAAGACGCCCGAACCCGCGTTGTTGAACTTCGGTAGTCACACATCACACCAACTTGACATAGTCATGTGGCTTATTGCCAATGGCAAGGAGCGAACCTTGAACGAATTCAAGAACATTGGGCAAGTTCCTTCCATGCCTGGATACGTTGACAAAGTTTGATTTGTTGTAATTTGCAGGGCCGGTGTTGGTTTAGTCCTCACCCAAACCTATGATTTTGTAGGGATGATGCTCTTGGAGTTCAAAATCGCTCAGGACTGATGCCGAACACAATCGATTGTAATATTCTGTTCTTGTACTTTTACCCTTCCCAATTGATTATCCCATGATTCGACGAAAATGACAACCACGAAGTAACCTTAATGTTCTGATGTATCGATCGCGATCGATCAAGACCAAGCCGGTCCTTACAAGTGATACTGAAAGCTTCTTTGGTGATTACCATCGAGTTCGTACCAAGAGATCTTCTCGATTTCCCGAAGGAAGGTCAACGCCACCGTGTCCCCCACGGTAGGGACGAATGCGTGCTTGTCGCTAGAGTTAGTTTCCACCAGGTCATCTCGACCAAAGAGTTGTAGCCAATGTCGGCGACGCACTGCCAGATCGAGATCAGGGAATCTGATGGCTGCAACAGGGAAAGTTAGTCGGGTCAGATAGCCAGGGTACGCACTGGCAGAGAATGGCCTGAGCAGTGCCTGTTGCTCGTCCGACAACACCGCGGGCCACAGACAGATACATCCGGACAATTCAAATTCTTGAACCATAAAATTGACACATTCCTAACGAAGAATTAGCAACAAAGGACAACATCTTGTGGAACATCAGAAATTACCGATGGACAATGAAGATGTGGAAGTGCACGATTGTTCTATGGCCCAGAAGTCGCATGCGAAGTGGGAAAATGGTGAATGTGGTGTCAATGCGCTTGTTCGTATGTCCAAATCACCTTCGGCATGCTCAGTATGATGGTATATGAGGGAAACTCCAATGGTATGGGTTTCGTGTTTGCTTTTGTGCCTTCATTGTGACTAGACCTGTTGTATTATAGCCATAATCATGCGTATGGGCTAGACTCGCAATGAACTTGTCTGTGGTAGTATACATCAGCTAGTCACCAACCTGTGACGCGTCAGCCATTTCTGTATCATCAGTAACGAGTTCATTGTGATATGATGCAGATTTAAAGCACAGACGTTCGATGGTCCATCGATACAGGAGGTTCTGCTCATAATGACTGTGCCAACGGAATCTCCAGCTCAAAACCCATCACATCCAGGTGAGCATTTTAATACCCACTGCGCAGAAGAAGTTGACCAGAAGACGTTGTTTGCAGATTAGCACCGCCGCACTAGTAGGTGTTGGAACGGATGTGGCAGATGCGGCTATCCGAAGTTTTCATGGACCTACAGGGTCACGGTCTCGTCCCACCCTACGTCATGATAATATTCGTAGGATGATAGAATATGAGGAACGTTTGATGACGAACTCATGGAAAATTTTACACATGTTCGTCACAACACGAAAGGGAATATTATTTGCATGAGAAATAGGATTTGCGACAGCATTGCCGGATCCGGCTGATTCCGGCAGCTTTGCATTTGCTTGGTCTTTAGTACTCTTTACTCAAGCGACGATCAATAACTTACTGGATGGCACCGATTTGCTGCAGCGGCGCAACTGGATTTGTACAGTGGTAAGATGGTTCGGCAGGTTGTTGTCACGACCCTTTCGAGCACCTGCAATGTTTGCAGTAGCGATGTGAGTTGTCCGGAACTTGTTCCACGCGATCGGAATTGAGTGACGCAAGGGGACGGCGTCCAGCATGCGCCATCTTGCTTTACTAAGGGATGTTTTGTTGGTTTTTAGGTTTCCAAGTCACATCTCCGCAAGTACGGAGTTTTTCCAAGTTCTGCCAACGACACCCGTGACTAGGACGTTCTCGACGAAGTTGCTAAACCTCTCACGCCACGTACGTGTCCTTTGCTTATCTTATATTGACTCGTTGGAGATGCCAGCCTAGCGTTCTGAAGAGGGAAGAAACCTGATGGAATGCTCAAGCTGTTGTGTTTAGCTCTGTACTCTAAGACCCCGAGCTCCTGCGACCCCCGACCCTCGCCTCGATGTCTCCTCTTTGCACCCGTCTCGTCCTAGCACCTGCTCCTGTTGGCTGATCCCTGCACTGCGCTCCCTACTACATCGTATCTCTCGTGGAATCTTAATGGGCGTCCTTTTTATTATCCAGACTTTTTCCTTTACCCAGCCAGTTTCGACCGATGCTGATATTTCACACCGAGTTTCTAAATTCTACTGCTCCAATTTCGGGTGTTCCATTGGGCTCTCAGGTGGTCGCGATAGGTCCGCCCTCGACCTCTCCAGTCAATCACCAGCGATAACTTCTGGTGCACGTGACATTCGCATCATACTACTTGTGCTCGGAAACCGCTCCCAACATACATTAGTATGAACATTTTCTTACCTTCTACATGGTGGCCACGGAGTCTGCTAACTGACGCAGAAAATTATGTCGTCGGCGCTAGACAGAATATGGGTAGAAATTTCTCCCAAAGGCCAAGCGCCGCTATGAACACAACTCTGCCGTCAGCTAGCCTGGGTTCGCCTACTAATCGACCCCTAGTAACTGACATTTACATGTCCTGGAGCGGTCAACTATAAGTAAGTGTGGTGTTTTGATGACTATTGCCAGCTAATTGATGACGTGCAGAACCTCATAGCACAACAGGATGATATATTTTTACTGATTATGCACGTTGCGAATGCCAGCGTCATGACTGAACCTGGGCTGATCTACTTGCTTATATATAGACTTAATATGATGATATTCCATCCGCATTTCATCGGAATCCTGTCATGAACTTGAAAGTCAAGGAAATCGATTTCAACTTCCAATAAGAAACAATGGCATCCAACAAATCACAGCCTAGATGCGCCACGCGCTCAACTCGGGCAACGACCGGTGTCAGAAGCCAGGTCTTATGAGTGGTTAGACTAGGTTTGGGTTCAATCTTCTTCCATGAATACCCATCGTTGAATGTCTTTGCCACGGGAAAGCAGCTGGATGATGTATTTTGTGAGGGAATATAAAACCTGAATGACTGAGAGGGAATCAAGCACACTCCAAAAATGACGGAGCCGAATGAAGTCAAGGTTGAGACCCTCTTGAGCATCATCAACTCCTCCGCGCGCGAAGCAATGGCGGAATACAAGAACACTGGACATGGAGTCCCCGGTATCGACTCAGGCACCTTCCACCCCCTCGACTTCGCGACAGATACACTTACCCTCAGAAAGGCAATCAGGCTTCTCGAGGGTGCGTGCGAGCAATTGAACACAATACTGGCTCCCCCCCAACACACAGCATATAATGTAAGTGTCGATTATAGATGGCCTTATATATTTTGTTGCTCATCTTCCTAGCTTGTTAGTAATTACAATTGGGCGTGCATGGACGTCGCCGCGCAATCATGTATTGCAGACGTCTTGGAAAAATACCCGGAAGGTCTTGATGTGGATGCGTTGGCTGACGCAGTCAATCTCGACAAGATCAAGATCGCACGCATCTTGCGATTTCTGTCCCTCATGGGTTGTTTCAAAGAAGGTGATATGCATACTGTTGGTTGATAATTTTCTCTGAAGCCGTTGATGTACACAGTTAAGCGAGACGTATTCACAAACACGCGACTCTCCCTCGTGCTCAAGTCGACAAACAACGTTGGGTCTTGTATACGGAATCACCGAAGATGCCCCAAATATGCTGCGGCTCTCTATGAGACCATGACTGACCAAGAGTTTGCAAGATCGCACGAGGTTGAAAAGGCCCCTCGAGCATTTGTTCTCGGAAAACAAGGCAAAAACAACAACTTCTGGGAAATGGATGTAAGTTTCAGTTATCATACTGGCCTTTCATGCCTTAACAAATTGTATAGGACAAGTCACGTGAAGTGTGTGCGGATTCGTCCGTTCATGACTGACTGATGTGCTCACAATACACAGATATTTCACAGAAGCATGATAGGCCATTCTGAGGTCCATGGCTCGTATGCGGCGCTCCATTGTGAGAAATCAGCATTTTTCAATCGTCAGCATGACTAAAGCAGGCCATAAGATTATCCTTGGGACAATGTATCATCCGTGGTGGATGTTGGATCTGGAACCGGAACAGTGTCTATCCCTCTGGCAAAAATGTTCCCTCATCTCAAAATAATCAATCAGGATCTCCCGGAAACTATAAAGCTGTCAAGAAATGTGAGTCCAAACATCAGGTCCAAACGCAGTGGGGTTATATTTACATGATCAGATATGGGAGAAGAATGCTCCTGAGGTGCTGCTCGACGGGCGCGTAGAGTTCGTGACATTGAATTTCTTGGAGGAGTCGCCTATTGCTGGAAAGGATGTTTACTATGTAAGTGCCAAGTTTGTTCTCATTCAACGCGGGCTGCCCAATGATCTGATATAGTTGAGGAGCATCATTCACGACTGGCCGGACAATGAGTCAAGGCTGATTCTCAACAATATTCGCAAAGTAATGGGACCAAACAGCCGAGTGTTGATTCGTGAGTCAGCTGCGTTTCAAAGTGATGTTTTCTCCAGAATCAACGTCCTGTGATAGAGGATTACGTGCTCTTGCGCACATTCGAAGAGCCTGACGTAGGGGCTGACGAGTCTGCTGAGGTGAGTTTCGAGTTTGGCTTGACGGTGTGATCATGCATTCAGGACCATAAGGCGCCCGAACCTACATTATTGAACTTCGGTTGTAGCACAGCACACCAGCATGATATGACGATGTGGCTTCTTTTCAATGGCAAGGAGCGAACCTTGAACGAATTCAAGAACATTGGGCAAGTTCCTTCTATGCATGGATACGTTGATGATGTTTGATTTATTATGATTCGCAGGGCCAGTGCTGGCTTAGTGCTCACCCAAACCTATGATTTTGTGGGGACGATGCTCTTGGAGTTCAGAATCGCTCAGGACTGATGTCGAACACAATCTGCCATCAATGAAGTGGGATGCTCAAAGGGCATCAAAGTTTAGAACAACGGCAATGATTCAAGGTATTTCTGTGGAGTTGATAGCACAAGTCTATACTATGATGCTCATGCAAATTCGCTATGAGGTCAACATGAGGCAGACTCAGATGTGCATGTGAAGACGGGAGACTACGTGGGAAAACGGAAGCTAGCACTTACGGAATCGAGGGTCCAATTCAACAATGCACTCACCTTGGCTATCTCTTGTTGTCACCGCACCTCTTCTCGCCATCAGCCTCTTAGAACCCCTATCAGGTACCTGTTTCACTTTTCTCAAGGAAGTCCTGCTGCTTGCACTCTTTGCATAATACTTCATGCATCGAAGTGGATACAGTACACCGCGGCATCATTGATGGAGATTGTGGAGGAGATTGTACAATGCACGGTAGAAATAGAGAAGGTTTAGCCGGGAATTGAGACGAGAGCTTTGTTTTTCCAACGAGGCGGGATCCAGGGCTGACTGACTTTCGAGACGAGGGTCCGTGGAGTTTCCAACAATCTTGGTCTACAATCAGTATGCTGGTCGTCAGTGGCCTTGTAATATGTATTTGCGGCCGTCCCCATATCTCGTGCCCCCAGGTGTCTGAATCGCCCCTTCAGGGGTTTCCACAAGCTTCAGGGCTCACAGGCCGTTGCACCTCCCCTTCTGCACCAAACCGTGCTGCTCCTTCCCTCATGGGGAGTCTGTCCATTGTATTGCAAGGTTGATGTTTGGAGCTAAAGTGGGGATTGAGTTGAGGCGGGGGTGGTTATTTGGGAAGGAATCGTGCGTCCTGACCGCAGTCAGCCCACTCACATCATGACCGCTGGGCCAGGTGGATTTGCGTGCCTTTCCCATCAAGTGTTATCATGGCTGATCCACTCTCGATCCGCTGATAGCTTTCGGAGTGCCTTCATCATGCTTTTTGTTCACGTACTTGTAACCTGCAAATTGTACTCGCAACTACTAATACCCTCGCTTCAATCACACCCTTTGAATGTGACTAGATAACATGGCATTAGCGTGACCATAACGCGGTAACGGTCGGATCACACATTCCTAATCCGATTCGTCGATTCCAGCACTTCAATTTTGTCAATGTTCTGAACTTCTTCAGTCTTCTTCAACTCTCCGAGGGTCCCAAATCCGGCAGCAACGTTGTCAAGCAAGATACTCTCTGGACCGGCAAGGAGGTCGTCTGGATCACGAGGTTCGGTCGAGAGCGCACGCCGCAGGGCGTTTCAAGATCCTGTGCAATCTCGACGGTAATGCCAACCTCTTCACGAGTGTGCATGCGGGCTTCTCAGCCTCCGCGGCTTTTATGACGCTGTGGTGTCGAAGGTTTGCACGAATTTCACAAAGCCTTGAAGTGTCTCAAATGTCTGAGAGATTACACCATCGCGTGGATTGTGCTATGCCGAGATCAAAGAATGTGCACTCTACTTCACCTGTATGTTCTATCGAATTCAAACCAGATGCAAGTTACATCTCCGCGAGTCTGGGGTTCTGCCAAACATTGCCAACCTCCCTTCGCATGAGTTTTGGCGATGATCGGGCACAACCAATTTGGCACAACCGCTTGGTAAAACTTGTTTTGCCAATAGCACTAGTCGCTACCATGGGAAAGCAGTTGGATGATGTATTTTGATCAAGGCATATAAGACATGAACGACTGATGGGAAACACGCACACTCCGAAAAATGACGGACCCGAATGAAGTCAAGGTTGAAGCCCTTCTAAGCATCATCAATTCCTCCGCACGCGAAGCAATGGCGGAATACAAGAACACTGGACATGGTGTCCCTGGTGTCGACGCAGGCACCCTCCACCCCCTCGACTTCGCGACGGATACACTTGCTCTCAGAAAGGCAATCAGGCTTCTCGAGGGTGCATGCGAGCAATTGAACGCAATACTGGCTCCCCCCCAACACACAGCATACAACGTAAGTGCTGATTATAGACGGCGTTATATGCATTGTTACTTATCTTTTAGTTTGTTAATAATTACAACTGGACGTGCATAGACGTCGCCACGCAATCATGTATTGCAGACGTCTTGGATAAACACCCAGAAGGTCTCAGTGTGGATGCATTGGCTGACGCAGTCAACCTCGATAAGACCAAGATCGCACGCGTCTTGCGATTTCTGGCCCTCAGGGGTTGCTTTAAAGAAGGTGACATGCATACTGTCGGTTCACAATTATCTCTGAAGCCTTTGGTGTTATGCAGTCAAGCGAGACGTATTCGCAAATACACGACTCTCCCTTGTGCTCAAGTCAACAAACGATGTTGTATTTTGTATACGAGATCAGCGAGACAGTCCCAAATATGCTGCGGTTCTCTATGAAACCATGATCGACCAAGAGTTTGCAAGATCGAACGAAGTTGAAAAGGCCCCTCGAGCATTTGCTCTTAGGAAGGAAGGCAAAAACCACAATTTCTGGGAAATGGACGTAAGTTTTAGTTATCATACTGGCCTTTCATGCATGCCTTACCATATTGTGTAGGATGAAGCACGCGAAGTGTGTGCTGATTTTTCCGCTCATGACTGACCGATGGCTCACAATACACAGACATTTCACAAATGCATGATAGGCCATTCTGTGATCTATGGCTCGTATGCGGCGCTCCATTGTGAGAAATCAGCATTTTTCAATCGTCAGCATGACTAAAGCGGGTCATAAGATTACCCTTGGGACAATGTGTCGTCCGTGGTGGATGTTGGATGTGGAACCGGAACAATGTCTATTCCTCTGGCGAAAATGTTTCCTCATCTCAGAATAACCAACCAGGATCTCCCAGAAACTATGAAGCTGTCGAGAAATGTGAGTCCAGACATCAGGTTTACACCCAGCGAGCAATTTATATTTATATTTGATCAGATATGGGAGAAGAAGGCTCCTGAGGCGCTACTCGACGAGCGCGTAGAGTTCGTGACATTGAATTTCTTGGAGGAGTCACCTGTTGCTGGAAAGGATGTTTACTATGTAAGTGCCAAGTTTGTTCCCATTCAACGCGGGTTGCTCAATGATCTGGTATAGTTAAGGAGCATCATTCACGACTGGCCCGACGATGAAGCAAGTGTGATTCTCCACAATATTCGCAAAGTAATGGGACCAAACAGCCGAGTGTTGATTCGTGAGTCAGCTGCGTTTCAAAGTGGTGTTTTCTCTAGAATCAACGTTTTGTGATAGATGACTGTGTGCTCTCGCGCAAGTTCGAAGAGCCAGATGTAGGGGCTAATGGGTCTACTACTAAGGTGAGTTTCGAGTTGAGCTTGACGGTGATCATGCATTCAAAATCATAAGGCGCCCGAACCTACATTATTGAACTTCGGTAGTAACACACCTCACCAACATGACATGACTATGTGGCTTCTTTTCAATGGCAAGGAGCGAACCTTGAACGAATTCAAGAACATTGGGCAAGTTCCTTCCATGCCTGGGTGCATTAACGATGTTTGATTTGTTATAATTCGCAGGGCCAGTGCTGGTCTAGTACTCACCCAGACCTATGATCTTGTAGGGATGATGCTCATGGAGTTCAGAATAGCTCAGGACTGATGGCGAACACAATTTGTGATATTCTGTTCTCGTACTTTTACCCTCAATTGATCATCCCATGATTTAACGAAGACGATGACGACAAAGGAGACTTAGTCCTCTATCCACCCCGTTCCCTACAGTTGATACTGTAAGCCTCCCTAGTGATTCCATCAGAAGCCTCCGCCCCGGCTGAACAATATCTATTGTGTTCTTATCCTGTGAATCGTCTACGATATAGAGACTCTGCATGCTAATGCACTTTCTACTCTACTCACTGGTGGCAACGCTAGCAACTGGCCCAGAGACAGCTCTACAAGCGGTTCAATCCCGTGCGTTTCTCATTGTTTGCGATATCGCATTGTGTCGACCATTTCCAGCGAAACAGACATATTGGTAAGCAGCAGACGCTCGATGATTTTCAACACATGCTTTGGGAGGTAAAGCGGGGGGTAAAGCCACAGTCACAGTGTGTACTCGGACAGAGAACTGGTTTCGTTTGAATGTCAGAGATCTGGCCAGTCTGGGACAAAGTATGGAACATCGGCACCTCCGAATATTTCATCCTCTACCAATCGTGAAGGACATAGTAATAATCATCAACGTTCAAGTTGCCTGTGTACCTTTACGAGGAAGTTCACCCGGTTTACGGTTACCTTTACTAAATAACGTCTACACAGAGGCTTTTATTGATGTTCGGACCTGAAGTGTTACCTCATATGGAACTGAACAAGGCTCCAAGTTGGAACAGGGGGCACCGTTAGGTGTGTGAGACAGATTTCGTCTGATGTCAGTATAAGGCTGTCACGGTGGACATTTGGTATGAACTCGAGCCTCGAGGCGTGTGAGGCCTGCACAGCCCAGCGCTTGCACGTGATCAACCGAATCAAAATCGCCACACTCACAATTTGATCCATCATGCCTCAGGCCAGCCCATTATTTTCCTAGCAACGTATCACACCTGCTGTTCAAGCCTCTGGATCTTATCCGATAGAAGTTCTGTCATCTGCGTGCCATGCACAGCGCTCAGCACTGCACATCAAGTGATTTGAGATCTTTCTGTCAAACGCTCATACACTGGAACGCGTGTATGTCCACAATGCGGTACCTCACATAGTAATAGAAACATGTGAGCATGCCGCGGAACCCTGTCTCATAGCAAGGTTCGCGGGTACTGGCAGCGCTCATTTATGGTTTGATGCAGGTTCGTTGAATTCCCCACTGTCATGGCCAGGTTACCACAGCACTTTCGATTGAAGTAGACTGAAAATATTTTATCTCCACGACGTAAGGGTTTTGGAATCGGAGGGAGAGAAATGGTATCGCCGATTCTTGTGAATTCATACTTCAACTATTACGTCGGACCCACATCAGTACTGGCAGTCACTTGTCGGGTCTGGCCTCGTCGGTCTAACCCTGGTCCGATTGACACATCTCGGTATCACTATGATTACAGGTCGCCAGCTTCTTACTGAATTCAGGTCCCTCCACCATCCCGATTACCTCGGTACACTTGGCCCCTTCGAGACGTCATAACACGCATACGCAAGACATGATATGAATACCATGCCAGTCGCGTGGCTGCGCTGATCACATCCCCAATCGACGGATCAAAAACTTGATTTACCCGGTGCCACGAAGGCTTTCTCGGACCCTCGTCACATAGTTCACTCCATTCAACGTGAAATCGACTTGGTAACCCGGTCTCTTGTGTTGATCCGCTCTGGGTAACATTGGCATACTCACCAGTATCATTCATTCAACTTACTTGTTTGAAGGTTGCAACGGCACAGCGCGTAACCAATGTATCTCTTCCACCACCATTGTAACGAAATTTCACAAACCTGAGAGCTTAGTGGAAATCTGGCGATCCAAGCCAACGCTCGCGCCTCTTGTCGCGCTGCGGTGGGAACAGCGCCATAGAGCAGGCAAGTTAAAAGCGATAAATGCAACTCATTCTGCAGAACCCAGAAGACACATCAACCAACTCCACGTAAACCAACTCCTCTCTGATCCAATATGAACCCAGTTCGGTTCGTGATAACATTCTCTACCTTTTTTTGTGGCTCACTGTTATTTATTTTAGTTCGTCTGACAAGTCCATGGTCCAAGATATGCTCCTGGAATTCAATGGGGTGAATCCCATCCTGATCGCTCGGGATGCTCTGCATGAACATGATACCGAGGTCAGAGTGCACCCGTGTGACTGGAAGGGGGACTGCAGGATGCACATTCCTGTGGAGCTCAAGCAGGTTTCTAAACATCTCAAGCAACATCATGGTATCAGCACCAGTGCCACCAGCGGGGACACGCAAAAAATTACCTGTCTTTGGACTGGTTGTCTCGATACCCATACGAAACCAGGGAATATCTCACGTCATGTCCTGACGCAGCATCTTGGGGTACGATGGATTTGCTCGAAGTGTGGGTCTTCACTCTCGCGAGAGGATGCCTTTCGACGACATTCGCTCGAAAGTTTGAGCTGCCAGTCTGCGGAAGTCGTTGTTGACTACGGAGACGAATCACAGGTCATTGACCTAGTGTACATTGATGGAGGTTGGTCGGCTAGCCAGAACGTCATGTTGATATAGTCCTCGGTGTTACCTTACAGTGATATCCCTATTATTTTGTATTCCAACCTCATATGTATCTCCCTATAGCTCCTGTCCGTCATTAGTAATGTCCTACCGTATACTCCTACTTAGTTGATCTACAATATTTATACTGGAAATTATGTATTTTTTCCTTGGATCTCGTTGTGGTGTCGACCATTAAATTATTCGAACCAAGGTACTAAAATTTCAGTCCCATTCAACTACCTTCCAAGGCCTGAATTTGACCCCTACAATTTGAGTCATTTTGCTTGCTTCTATATGGCAGTGCGTTGGAGGGATAGAAGTTGATATAAGCCTGGGTTCGGCAGTACATACGTCCACGGATCAATATTAAACTAAAGTGATAAAACTGGGTACACACACATGACGATACTGAAGTCCTCGGTAATGTGCGTAATAAGCTGTAAGAATGTATGGCAGAAAAATCATGGCCACGACAGACGACAGCGTTTGGTAGGAGCACCATGGGATTCGGTTTGGATTCTTTAGGTGGCGCAGTTCAGAATCTAACCGAGCAAATGTCTTTCCACAACTACCACATTCCGTTTTGTTGTCCAAATGAACTGCAACGATGTGCCGCGATATGCTCTCCTTCTTCATTTTCTTCCCGCAGCCCTCCCATCGGCATGAAGTCCTATCTTTGTCGCCGCCAGGTTTCACACCGTGGTGTAGTTGGAGGTGTTGCGCCACTTCGGACTTGTCGACAGTCAGAGCAGAGAAGCAGGACCCACCATCCCAGCCGCAGAAGCTTGAGGTGTCATTCATATCGTCCATCAATAATGTACAGTCACTCTTTCTCTCCTCCGGCCACGATGGTGTAGGTGAATGAAGATCAACTCCGCTGCCAAAACTAGATAGATAATCAATGTTACCGCCGAAGTTCTGCGCGCGAGGTTGTATGTCATTGAATGATGGTTCGATATGACAATCGTTGGCGTGCCCATTCGCCCACTGACATGCGTAATCGCAAGATAGACTCCCATTGGAAGATGATGTGGCAGGCGACTGCGGGAGAGCATGGGGACTCCACGTGTGGGATGAAGCGTCATCCATGGGGTCATGGAAAGCTCTGGAGGGAAGCTGTTGGGAAACTCGGGAAAAGGTTCCTGGTTGAATAAATATTCAGGCCCGCTAAGATAAGGTGCATCCATTCCAAGAGGTGTGTGGATCCATTCTGTTGTCTGTATCAAGAGCGGTGTGTGGATGGCTCATAGAGGACCGGACCCGAACCGAGCTGCGGCAGCTTTAGTTGTTAAGTCGAACAGTGGCGATAGATTTTTAAGTTGCGTTGCCTGCCAAGCCTCGCTTTGTTGAAATCATCGTCATCGGCACGCAGGTTTCAAATCGCCAACCTTGCCTCTCCAGGCTCTCCTTGCCTTCGGTTGAAGAAGATTTCCATTAAACAGGGACGCCAGGAAAGGCACGCTTCAAGTTCATTCATCATATAGTATCGGGGCCGGGAACTATGACTGATATGCCAGTGGGGCATCTTATCACACAATAAAAGTTCGATTTGACGCCATGTAGTAGATATGGGGTAATCGGTAGGAGATTGATACCTACCGCCGACCGGTGACTGTGCTAACACTGCTGCTAGCGCTTCGCTGAGCCCCCTAGATATGCAGCTATGCCTCTTCGGGCCTCTCTATGTAAAATGTATTTAATAGGACGGTGAGTCGGTGACCCACCCTCCATACTTACAACTCGGACCCACCCATCCTTCTCATTCTATTGAACTCGAGGATTATCACAACTTTTCCTCCAAGACTTTGAGTTTTACTGTGAGTTGCAATACTTCATCCTTCGACGCTGAACCCGAATCTAACTCTTCAAAATGTATTGACAGGAATAAGTCTTGTGCGAGCTCTAGTGCAACCTTCATTTTTTGAATTCCAGCGACACATATGTGGGTGTTGGGACCGCAATCTTCTTGAACGAATGCTACTAAAGTTCCTATCTTTTGCAGTACAGCAGCACATGAATTGGGTTTTGGTAACCATAGACAACAGTGCCGGCGCCAAGCTGTGGTTCAGCGATGGCCAGCCCATCGGAGCAATCCGTGGCGGGTGCGAGTCGAGTCACAGGCTGATCATTGACAAACAAGGTTTCATCGATATCACTGTACCCTACTCAGTACTTCCATCTATCGTCGACCTGAACAACACGGTCGCCATCTGCCCAGAAGATTCGGTGAATATCAACCTCACAATCCCCGGGGATGGTTCTTTCTCGTTCTCAATCACTCCATCTACGTCCGTTCACAGATCTGTCTTGACGGGGACGTTAAAGCCACTGCCAGAGGTGTCGGATGTTGATGTATCATTTTTCGACAAGATGATGGACTTGCACTATGTGCCATACCAAGACGTACCAGACGCGCTAGGCAGGGACGTAGAGGAGATCAAAGCTTTAGGGTTACGCCATTTTCCATTCTCGCCACACAGCTTTCAGCTGGCAATGGCGGTGTATGACTGGACGACTGCATCATTTGCGCGCATGGTGCTGATGAAAATATTCGAGTATAGTAGTATCCCAACCACGCCGTATCCTCTTGACTCTCCAAACATCGCAACCGCGATCTGGAAGTCAAACTGGGGCTCGTACGTTCCAGGCAACAAGGCCTACATGAATTCTTTTATGATGAAGCCCGCATCCACGTTGCAAGACGTTCAGGATCAGCTTCGCGACGTCAAGGCTCTCCTGCAGAAGTTTAGTGCCGTTCAAAACCGGTTACTCAGTGCTGCTTTTGCGGCGATGCCTCGCACATCCGTCTTTTATGCGCCTCAATTATTCAGCGGGCAGCTTGACATATCCCAGCTCAGTCTCGATTACTTCGGCATCGAGATGCTAGAGTGCCCCCTCAACGCCGGGCCGACTAGCAAGTCGCTTGGGGTGTCTTTGGAGGCAGCGATGGCAACTTTCGTCAAGGTGGGCAGCACTATCACAACCAAGATGGTCTGGAGCTTTGCGGATTCGATCGATATCGCAAAACATTACCAAAATGGCCTTATAGTGGTGGTCAACCCTCCCGACAACGACTCGTGGGTCTGGGATGCGGCAAGCTATATCACACCGCTCTCGGATGATCCTGAGAAGAATGAGTACACATTCGCTCCAGGGACGTCATTCGTTGTGGAGTCACTAGACGTACGGGATATTGATGAGGATGAGAGGAACAAGTCCGTTCAGTTTCTGACTCTGAAGTTGCATGCTCCTGGTTCCGTTCGCGATGATCGGACCACGCAACTTCCGAGTCGGCCTCCACTCAATAATATACCTGCGCGCCGTTTTAGTGGCCCCAAGTTCAATCACCATCTCACAAATAAGACGGGTGGAAGACGATGTCATTGTGTTGATGATGCTGAAAGGTATGTGACAATGTTTATTGTCTACGGTTTCTGCTAATAAGTTTGGACCACAAGAATGAAAGGTCAGGATAAGTAGGATGTGCGCTTGACATTTGAGGCTCTGAAGTACCAATTCAATGACAGAGTATTGTACATGTAGTGTTATATTTGCAAGTGATATACTTCGAGCAGCTGGATCCCTCCATCTCGCGTGGCCAGCCCTTGAGTCGATGTCACCAACGATTACATTTCTGCAGGTGATTTTTTTTCGGAATCCACTCGTTCCTTGTTGATTCTGCATTAGAGATACAAGCACCAGGAGTCTGGCCAACTTGGACAAGCAATGTGCGAATTTAAGGATGTACATCAATGTCACATCCATTTAGTAAGTATAGCTGGTCATTGATCATATTTCCGACACACCCTCATTTCGAAGCCTTGATATTGCTCGTCTTCGGTGTAACTCGACGGTTTACGAACTACCATTTAAAATGGCTTAGTTGAAGTTGTAAGTCTGGAAGATGGTTGCCTCCGGATTCCTGCCGCAGGATACAGGCAATTCATTTGTGAGTGTTCGTAAGTTATACTTGCTATAAGAGCAACTTTTCCAGCATGTATACTGCACATACAGTATCAGTAACGATTCCACTTCTGAAGAGGAAGAGGAATACTTGGATGATGTAACCCCCGACGGCATATACCTGATTTTCCGAAGTGACATCGGGAGCAGCCCTGGCTCTGGCTTCGATTTTGTCAACCGTTCTTGTTTTCCATGCATGCTACATTTCACTAAGCAAGAAGTTACTGAATCATGCCTTCCCAGGGAGCGCCTTTACTCAGTGTTCGACACGCCGAATTCCAGAGCTCTCGGGTTTGCCGAGACTGCGGACATGTAACTGCGGACCCTTGAAAGATGAAGGTTTTACCCTTCTTGACATCTGATGTTACATAAATATCTCAAGTACCTCTGTTTTTAACGATCCTTTCACCAGTACCTGGCAATCTGCATACGGGAACGAGGGATTTCCTCTTTAACTTTGTGTTGGTTGTGCCCATGTCACGTACGTGTTTCCACGACTGAGCTGACATCGAATCACTGGCGGATGTATATGTCTAGTAGTCATTCAAGGCCCTTGTAAGTACTTTGGTGAGGTGAGGGCGCTGACGTATTGATACAAAATCACCGGCACTCTAGCAGAAGCCTTGGTGACGTATTCTGAATTGGTTTGGGAAGTGTTCTTGCATAGATTTGCAATATCGACGCCTTAAGTGAGGCTTCACTTTCATGCATGTGTTCAGACGCGTCTAGTACAAACGCTCAGACAATCGGTGAACAAATATTGTCGATTTCTTATACACATCCACTAGCGTTCGATGGCCTCGCAGATACCAGAGGTTGGTCATTCAGTAGATTCGCTAGCAGGACTGACATCAATGTTACTGTGCAGCATGCTCAAATCCTTGTCGTCGGTGGAGGTCCCTCTGGCAGTTATACTGCCTCGGCCCTTTCCAGGGAAGGCCTCAACGTCGTTTTATTGGAGGCTGCCCAGTTCCCTCGGTAATACACTTGTCAAAAGTGTTCAAGCATCCCCCTTGACGATTATCATGTAGGTATCACATTGGGGAAAGCCTAATTCCTTCAGTTCGTCATTACCTGAGGTTCATTGATGCGGAGCAAAAGTTGGTCAAGATGGGTTTCAAGCACAAGGTACGATCAAAGCGTTCTCGGATAATAGGGCCCAAATAATATATTATCATTAATAGCCCGGAGCTGCGATAAAGTTTAATCAATTTAAACGGGAAGGATGTGAGTGATAGCAGCAATTGGCCCAAGAGACACACTCACCTGTTTCCAGACACGGACTTCGTTGCACTTGGGCATACTAACAGTTCATGGAACGTAGTATGTACTTGACATCTTTTCCTTCCTTGAAAATCAACGCTCCAGTTAGGTGCGCTCGACATTCGACAAGATGTTGCTTGACCACGCAACATCCTGCGGAACAAAGGTGTTTGAACAAACGAGTGTGAAATCCTTCCGCTTCTCCCCAACCGAGTCTTCCAGGCCTGTGGCTGCTGAATGGTTACGTGCTGCAGATGGAAAAACCGGAGTGATTTCATTCGACTGTCTTGTTGATGCATCCGGACGCTCAGGATTGATGTCAACCAAATACTTACGCAACCGTCGTTTTAACGCATCATTAAAGAACATTGCACTGTGGGGTTATTGGGTGGGAGTCAATACATATGGCACGAATACCCAAAGAGAGGGTGCCCCTTGGTTTGAGACACTGGGAGGTACGCATCGTGTTGTCAATGTTGTCAATGCGATAATTGAGCCAATGTACACCAGATGAATCCGGCTGGGCTTGGTTTATTCCTCTACACGATGGAACAACTTCCATCGGCGTCGTTATGAATCAAGACATTCATAACGAGAAAGTCCGTGCCTTGAAAGGCAAATCTCTGGAATATCGCTATCGGCTTTCTATAACCCTCGCTCCAACACTAGTCAAGCTCATCGGAACTGGAAAGATGGTACAAAAGGAGACTACAGGGGGGCAACCTGGGCAGCTTGACCTATTGGTAAGATCAGCGTCTGACTTCAGCTACTCCGCTTCGAGCTACGGGGGACCTGGCTTTCGTTTGGTCGGGGACGCTGGTGGTACGAATTTGCATATTTCCCTTGTATATGACGAAGCTGATACACGAGTCTTCAGCGTTCATAGATCCATTCTTCTCCTCCGGGATACACCTCGCAATGACCTCCGCATTATCTGCAGCAGTATCTATATGTGCCGCAGTCCGAGGAGATTGTTCAGAAGTCGAAGCAGCTGCATGGCACACGAAGAGGTTTTCGTTGAGTTACACAAGGTCCGTCCATAAGTAGATGGATTTACTCTTGCTGATCAGAGTTCCACGTGCAACGTAACCTGTATAGATTCCAGATAGTGGTGATGAGCGCCTATCAACAGATACGAACGACGGATCTTGATATCCTGAGCGATATTGACGAAGATAATTATGATCGAGCATTCGCTGCCATTCGACCAGGTACTACTATCATTGCATGGTATGGCCAATGTCAAAGATGCTGACTTTATTGCCGCACAGTAATCCAGGGTGCATCGGAGATGGGGAGCCGGTTGAGTGAGAAAGAGCTTCAGAGTGCACTGGAGTTCTGCGGCAAGTGCTTCAGTCCCACGTCGCCTGGGCACCTTGCACCCGCTTCGAAAGAAGCTCTTCCAAAAGATATGTTCGATGTTACAGCCCCACTCATGGATCCGCACGTTATTGAAAGCATTATCTCGAAGACATTCGACCATACGAATCCGACAGGTGACCAGGACTTCTGTGGACCTGAGGAAGACCTGAAACTCGCTCTGGACCAAATCAACAGCCGAAGAGTCGTGCATCGAGAGTATGCTATCAATAATCTCGAGGCTGAGGACTTGAATGGCTTTGTGGTGAGGTTACAAAGAGGACATCTTGGATTGATGCGCACGTAGTTAACTCGGAGGATGACATCGATGATTGGTCAGGTTTGTTGTCAACGGAGTCACGGTGATCGTGGAGGGCCTCTGCAGAGTGACGTACACAGTGTACATAATTCAAGGTCACGGTGTACCGCAAGTTAAACCACAATAATTGAAATTCTTGACTCGATCATCATGCATCATGGACTGAAACACGATTCGGCTCATGTCAAGCTCATGTCGAACCTGTTCTGGCAGCATTACAATAAGCCACCTACTGCTACAGTGCTAGAAGGCCCAACACAAACCAGCCGTCTATTACGCCCAGTTGAACTACGTGTCAGTGCAAACGAACATTCACTGCCAGCATCCCGTTATGTGCTGTCTTATTATCTGCCATATGATCTGCCTGGAGGGAGACAGGTTCAACCAAGCTTTGGTTGCAGCAAGTACGTTGCCAATTTCCGAATCTCCCCAAGGCTTCAATGGCAAAATGGAAATCCATATGATCCCAAGATTTTCCGAGTCATGACAATGCCACACCAAGCTTTGACAACCTATGCTTGAAAACCAGAGCATAGTCATAACTTGGGTGGAATTGAACGTGCCAGATATATTCCACCATTCTCACCTCCCGTCGTCTGGTTGTCCAGATTTGCCATCAGACGTCAATGCGCTAGGAGTCTTCAAGTAGCAACACTTTAGGATCTTGGTCTGTGCATTAATGACTGTGACTATGACAGTCCTCGGTACGGTTTTGATTTATGGCGTGCTTCGCCATTGACTCGGAGCTGATTCATTTCTTCAAGCTGGATACAGGCCAAGGACTGCCATGCCATGCCAGAAGCGTTCAAGTTCATGGGTTCTATGCTATATCCATCTCATAGGGCGAAATGTTTCCTTGGTTAGCGTTGCCATTAGAATCATTTTTTATTTCGTGCCAGAACTCAATACGGTAGGCAATCTACTTGATTGTGACGCTATCTAACATGTCCTGGTGATCATCCAGATATCCAGGTAAATCGTTTAAACGACCACCATGCGGCTGTCGGCGCGAGGCCCTTGGCTTTTTGGCTCGGCGATTTTGATAGCGACGAATCATCCTCTGATGACGTACAGCGATCACAGCAACCCAGGATAGAAAATTCAGGAAGTTCACCCCTGCGTCTCACGAGATGTAGAACCCAGCTTGCGAATATCACATGGTCAATTGAATTGGGAGCCAACTCATATAAAGCGTTTTGATGATTGAAGCTTGAATTCGAGCTGATCTTATCCCTCACCTGGCCTTCGAACAGTTGTTCCAAATGGTGTTCCCTTCCAAGGCTTTCCTGTCGATCTTCTTTGTCGTGCTGTCCTCTGCGGACGCATCTCCTTTACGCCCTGTCGCTGGCAAGGCAACCCTCAGCTTTGCCGCCAGGTTGAACGTCAGGGGTGCTGTTAATATCGCTGCCGCCGACAGGGCTCGCGTTCAGGCGATGAAGCAGGCTGGTTCCATGGGCAAGCGTGCTGCCAAGTCCTCTTTCAGCGTAACCAACGCTATCGTTGTGTACACTGCCCAAGTTGGTGTCGGCAGCCCTGCCACTGAGTGTAAGACCGACCGTCAGCTAGCTCAGATAATTTCTGATTAGACGGTTTATCAGACACACTCCTCATTGATACGGGCAGCTCCAACACCTGGTTAGGTGCGAACGCCTCATACAGTCCCACTAGTACTAGTGTGGATACTGGCAGCACTGTTGTATGCTGTTTCTCATACTCTGTTCGTGAAAAGGTGTTTATGGCAACCTTGTAGGCTGTGTCTTATGGTTCCGGTAGTTTCTCCGGAGAGGAATACACGGACACCGTTCATTTGAGTACTGGTCTTGTCATTAGCGAACAATCCATCGGAGTTGCGAGCTCCTCACAAGGCTTCGAAGGCGTGGATGGAATTCTCGGAGTCGGACCAACTGATTTGACCGAGAATACCGTTTCCAACTTCGACGTTGTCCCCACTGTCACAGACAACCTCTACAGCCAAGGTGTCATCGGCACTAGGGCACTCGGAATCTACTTTGTTCCTGCTGCTGCCCCTGACAGCATTGGCGAGCTCACCTTTGGTGGGCACGATAGCTTAAAGATAACGAGCCCGGTGACTTACGTCCCTCTCACGACTACGTTACCTGCTAGCAATTACTGGGGCATCGACCAGTCTATTTCCTATGGAGGTTCCACCATTTTGTCTGAGACTGCTGGTATTGTTGACACCGGCACGACTCTCGTTCTCATCGCCTCCAGTAGGACAAGTCATTCATAAATGGGACGTCCCATACTGACTTGGAGAATATTAGATGCGTTCAGCACGTACCAAACTGCCACTGGTGGCGTATTGGATGAGACCACCGGTCTCCTGAAGATCACCTCTAGTCAGTATGCTAAGCTGCAAAACCTGACCTTCAAGATTGGTGACAGAGCCTACGATCTGACCCCCAACGCCCAAATTTGGCCGCGTACCCTCAATACTAACCTAGGCGGAATCAGTGGTGTCATCTACCTTATCGTTGCTGATATCGGCAGCAACTCTGGTTCTGGATTGGATTTTATCAACGGTTACGCATTCCTGTTAGTGTTTAAGTAGCTTTGGCTGGTATGAGACTGACGACCTATCATACAGTCAACGCCACTACTCTGTCTTCGACACCACCAACAGCCAAGTCGGCTTTGCAACCACCATACACACTGATGATAGGAGCAACTAAAATTTGAACTATTTGCTGAATTGATGCTCATAACGCACGCGTGTACGTATGTTTTATAGCTGTAGGTGGTTGTTCGAGGTCGATGGGAGCTTTGTGAGTACTTGGGGTGACGTCGAGCATATCGTTTGTTGTAAAAATATAACTTTTCAATAGTGAGCTAAAACTCCAAGTTGCCAGATCAACTGCACAGGCTGCTGCTAGTTTGAACCGTGAGTCATCATGTGACCGGTAATTCCCAAAATAAACTTGAAACGTAACGTTATGCCGCTTCAACAAGTTGCCTACTCCCGATATACGCAAGAAAATAAAGGTGAACAGTACTTACTGATCCAATTGATCATGCGTATGAGTGTAATGTTGGGCTCATTCCGTCATTATCATACATGCAGCAGTAAATTTTCATCCTTTCAACTTCCAAGACCTGTATTGCATCGAGCGCTAGGCCATACTAAATCTATCTAGTATCGTCATACATGCAGTGCAGAGAACAACTGACCACGGAATCTTCATGTATGGACATGTTTGGTGTGATCTGAATCAATATCCTGTACACCGTCTCTACAACAAGCATAGGATTTCTCTTTTCTTCTCTCTCTTATCCTCCCTTCGCAGGGCTCATCCCAATTCCATCAAATCCCTCAAATCGAATTCCAAGCTTGAATAATCGATCTAGCAATGAGCCGCCAGCCGATCTCGCGACACACCTTCACCGCGCTTAATAGCACTTTCATCGTCGACGGCGAGTACCAGTTCGTCAAGGAGCTTGGTCAGGGCGCGTACGGGTGTGTCGTTGCTGCCCGTCACCGCCGATCAGGCGAGGGATGCGCGATCAAGAAGATCACGAACATTAATACCAAAGTGCTTATTTCTGCTTGTTCACTGCGCACCAGGCTAAACAGGCGCTGTATCATAGAGGATCCTCACCAAGCGATGCTTGAGAGAGATTAGGTGCGTTGTGTAGTCAAGTATTTCGAGTATAACGCTGATCATAGCATGAATCAGATTGTTACATCATTTCAGGGGGCACAAGAACGTACGCCAACCACATGTGCTTTAGACCTACATTTCACACATTCCTCTACAGATAACATGTCTATACGACATGGATATCGTCTTTCAATCTAGCGGGAATTTTGACGAAGTCTATCTCTATGTCTGTTCGCCTCGTTATTCGCCTCTGGTCCCACTGATCCCTACATTAGGAAGAATTGATGGAAGCTGATCTTCATGCCATCGTGCGTCCCTTCCCACTCTTGACTGATCTGACACTCAAAAACCGACGGCGCTTGCACACAGATCCGGTCTGGACAACCGCTCACCGACGCACACTTCCAGTCATTCCTTTACCAGACCCTCTGCGGGCTCAAATACATTCACAGTGCCAACGTACTCCACCGTGATCTCAAACCCGGAAATCTTCTTGTCAACGCAGATTGCGAGCTCAAAATATGCGACTTTGGCTTGGCTAGAGGGTGCGCATGTTCCTCGCTAGTATATTTGCACTTCAAAGACTAAATTAACGTTGGATTTAGCTTTACCCCCGGTGGCGGCACGAGCAAGAGCGCCGGAAACCAGGGTTTCATGACGGAGTACGTTGCAACGCGATGGTACCGTGCGCCAGAAATTATGCTTAGCTTCGCGAATTATGTGTGTGCCACTTTCCTTTCTTGTCTATTACTTCGGCATTCTTTATGGTAGCCGCTTAAGCGTCATTTTACACTAGCTGACCTCAATGCCTATAGACAACGGCCATTGATGTCTGGTCTGTCGGCTGCATTCTTGCCGAGCTCTTGGGCGGCAAGCCGATTTTCAAAGGACGAGAGTAGGTTCATTCCCATTTCATTATGGGCAATCTGCGCATGCATCGAATCGATAAATTGATACTGACTATCAATAATTTGCTTAGCTATGTCGACCAACTGAACCAAATTCTTCACTACCTCGGTACGCCCTCTGAGGACACCCTTCGCCGTGTCGGATCTCCAAGGGTATGTACTCTGCCAGCTCGTCAATATACCCAGCTCACTCGAATCACACAGGCTCAAGATTACATCCGCTCTCTCCCCATTAAGCCACGCGTGCCGTTCCAGACACTCTACCCGCACGCCAACCCACTCGCCATCGATCTCCTGCAGCAGATGCTCTGCTTCGACCCCGCCAAGCGCATCAGCTGTGAGGCTGCGCTCAACCACCCGTATCTGCAGGTGTGGCACGATCCCGCCGATGAGCCGGTCTGCGATGCCGTAAGCTTAATTTCCCGTTTCGAAGGACCAGGATGCTCAAACTAGGTTGACGCACTCAGAAATTTGACTTCTCGTTTGAGGAGGAGGACTCTATCGAGGGGATGAAGAGGCTCATTGTCGAGGAGGTCCAATCGTTCCGTGCTGAGGTGCGCGCCCAGGCGAGGGCCACGGGTCAGATCAAGAGACAAGACAGGTCAGCATCATCCTGGCGCTTCTTTCCTCTCCTTCATTACGAACCTGATCATTAAACCATCCTAGTCTGCCCATTCCCTCTCGGGACGAGATTATCAGCTCGCCGGTGCAGGAGTACGGCCCTGTACACGGTGCAACGTCTGGCTACACCGCACCATCCCAGCGCGCGCCGTCGCCTATCATGGATGACCCTAGCGATGCGCTTGAGAAGGAGCTTGCGGGGACGCATATTGGGAGGCGATGATTATTCACCAGTCAGTTGGTTTGAACATGATTCTTACTTCACGTGTGTTCTTGAACGTTGTGATTGTTTGTTAGAACTCGTAATGATGTACTACGGAAATGGAGGAAATAATTTGGAAAATGCAAAGATGCTATATACATACATACATACCGTACTGGAGTTTGAATCGATTGTTGTACTGAGACCAAGATAGAGTTTGTCCCTTAATTGTGTGTAAAGTTGCACATTGCGCACCGGATAAACAACCCCGCACATCATATACTTAGATCAGGCAGTTGACAATCACTGGGGCCTTGAGCTCAAGGTCTGAGAGCTGCTGAGTATTGGCAGTGTCGCGGACCGAGACCGGCTAGAGATCCATGTGCTTTGTGCGAATTTGGGAATCTCTGCTCCCGCCCATTTGCCAGCTGGGCCCGGGTCGTTGCCAAAGTCTCCAGCTTGGCTTAATCGCCGCTCATACATAGGTATAATAGACACTGCAGGTGGCCATCCTTGTTCATTATAACTTATATCATCAATCGCCTCATTACCAAGTGATTGAAATTGGTGAGTACTCAGTAATTCTGGTCACTGTGCACACTGACGTGTTCAAAGAACATCATGTCGCTTTTCCTCTGTGTTGACTGTGGTGGATCCAAGACGTCTGCTGTCATTACAGACAGATCTGGCACGATCCTCGGGCGCGCCCTAGGAGGCCCATCTAACTTTGCGTACATGTCTGCGTCTGCATTTACAGATGCTGTTCGCGTAGCAGTATCTAATGCATTGAAGACCTGCGTCTCTCCACCATCTATCGACCCTATTCCCCTCCCTCCCAACACTGAGATGTTCGCATCCGCATGGTTCGGTATCTCCGGCGTCGATTCCCTAGCTGCAGTCGCCAATGCATCAGCAGCGCTCTCCGCTCTCCTCAGGATACCCCTGGGTCCGCGGTTGGTCGTGGCCAACGATACACATCTTCTTGCTGCCCCGCTTCGGCTTCATCCTGATATCAAGCATGCTGTCGCTGCGATAGGCGGCACAGGATCCTGCGTCGTTTCATTTCAACGCCAGCCCTCGGGCATGCTGAGTGAGCTTGCGCGGACTGGCGGGTGGGGATGGATTCTAGGAGACGAAGGCGGGGGATTTCACGTGGGCCGCGAGACCATGCGTCAGATGATGCACGATGCTGCGCGCTCGTCGCTGGGGATGGAGCCGTTACCCCCAAGTAGCCTCAAAGCGAAGGTGCTTGAAAGATTTGGGATCCACGGGGTAGAGAATGCTCCAGAGGTGCTGCCGGTGGTGCACTTGCCTGAGCCGAGTACAGCAGAGGCGGCTGCCACTGTTCCATCGTACCTCCTCGTTGCGCGCGAGAAACGGTTAAGCCAGCTTGCGCCACTCGTTTTTGAGGCTGCGTTCAAGGACAAGGACCCCTTCGCGTTGAATGTGTTGAAGGTCTGTGCTGAGGGACTTGCGGATCAAATCGCCATGCTTTGCCGTGAGCCTGGAGAAGATCCGAATTTGAAACCAAGAGCAGTGGAAGCAAATAAGGCCGTGTTGTGTTTTGGAGGGAGCTTAGTTGGCATTGAAGATTATAGGGTGTTGATACGTGAGGCATTGGCGAAGAAGGGGCATGTCTTTAAATATGTGGAGTTCGTTGACGATGCTGCGGCTGTAGGAGCGGTAGGGCTAGCGTCTTTAGGGAGGACATGAGTCTCTGTCTACTCACTAGCTATGGAATTTGTTACTTGAGTATAGTTGAAGTTCAGTCGAACAAGCTCCTTGAAGGTAATACCTGCCCTAAATATTTCCACGGTCCCCATACAAAAACCACCTTGAGTTTTTTCTTTTTCTCTTTGTGCGGCGACACGGCCAGACCTTCCCCATGTTGCTCATAGCTGCCCATAATCCACGCGGCTGTTCGAGTGTCAGGCCGTGTCCTGAATAATTGGACGTCTTAGCACCCATTATCGCGTCATCCGAGTTTTCTGGAGAAGCGATGGGTCGGTGGTTCATACATATATGTGCTAACTACTATTCCCGCAACCCAAGCATGTCTCCGTGCTCCCAAAAATGACTATTTCAGTGCCACGGAATTCTGTCTGGTTCTCTAACTTGGTAGATGACATTTTTGCTACATATACAAGGACACAATGTTTGCCATTCCAATGCCGGTGGAGGGATGCATCTATTACACCTAAGCGTGCTATCAGCGACATAAACAAACCAAATTGAGGTTGGTTTCGTTGTCTAGACCGTTTCGTCACTTCCGTAGTAATTTACTGTTTTTAGGTTGGAACAGAAAACATAGATTCGTTTACTAACAGCGCAGCTAGGCATAACTCAATGCACTTGAAATGTTTATTGGGACATCTTTGAGTATATTTTACAACTTTGGTCCAGACAGATTTTGAAAATCATTATTTGTTGTGCAATGCGAGGCTTCAGAAGTTTTGTTGGCTCAAGTGCCCTGTACTTGCTGGTCCCCCATGGGCAGGCACCGAAACCTCAGGCCTCAGCGCTCAGCGAGCACTGATCAATGATCAGCGGAGTTTAGATAGGGGGTGCCGGTGACTTATTGCTCAATCACTGGTGCCACATACGACTCTGGTGGCGTTGGGTTTGCCACTATTTGCTCTCATCTTTCCGTGTACCTGACGGCTTGAATTGTTCGGTGCACTGGAGTTGTTGTGCACTGAACGTCCAGGAACAGGTAGGTACGCTAGCTTATATATATCTGCTCACCCCGAAGAACACGCGAATACACACATATATATATGGTATTAACAATGAGTCCTTCTTATTATAGTACTCCGGAAAGTGATTCTGACGCCGCAATGAGGGAACTCGACGCCGTCTGCTGATACTTTTTCAGTGGTGTCTCCTAGCGACAATTACCTTTTAGCTCTCATGCCAAGTGGCAGATCTAGTGGCAGAATTGTCATTCTGACGGTTCCACCGTTCGTGCCGGCACAATTGCGGCTTGCCCGCAAATAGTTCTGCCCCTACATTAATCATGGGCAGATATAAAGTCTCTATTGACATGTATCCGTACTTCAGAAACACAATCAAAAATGTCGACCAACACAATTCCGTCTTCGTCTTCGTCTTCGTCCGACTCCCTCCACAATAGAGTCAAATACTTACAGGATAGAGTCAAAGCTCTTGAAATATCTCTCAGGTATGAATACTTGTACTACCGGAATCACTTGGTCCTACGTCTTTTCAGTGAACTAGTACAATCAAAATCAAACGCCTGCCCTTCCCATCCTAAGGCACAACACAGTCTGCTCCAAGTGCCTGAACCTATCTTTAACCAGTTCGTGTGGTTGCCCGCCCATGCGAAAATGTTTACTGAGGGGTTCTTTGCAGGTTGTCTCTGCCTGAAACTCAATATCATAGCGGTGAATGGACACCGTGCGGCGGTTCCACTTTGAACACGTTCAACGTAATGAGCACTGTGGAGGCGCCCTTTGCACTTGACGCAGGGTCGCCCATCCTTAGCGGTCCATCTCCCATGAAGTCCGATCTTATTTACCAGCCCCTTCCAAACACCGCCCTTGATCCAGACAACGGAATGGATACGCCTTGTCTTAGCGGGCCTGGCCATTTGGAAGGTCGCAACTTCAACCTGGAACCTCGCCTCGAGTTTATCAATAGCTTCTCTTCAGAGCTTTCCATGACCCCCTCTATAGATGATGCTTCATCCCAGACGTGGAGTTCTCATACTCTCCCGTGGTCACCTGACGCATCATCTTCCAACGGGAGTTTATCTCGGGATTATTTCCCGTGGGCGAACAGGCACGCCCAAGATCATCATGTCGAGCCATCATCCGGCGACATACAAAATCACGCGCAGAACTCCTGCGATGTTTATCTATCTAGTTTTTGTGGCGGAACCGATCTTCATTCGCCTACACCATCGTGGTCGGAGAAGAGGAGTGATTATACATCATTGATTGGCACATCATGCCAATGCTGCTGGGATGGCGGGTGCCTCTCAGTTCTGACTGTCGACAGGTCCGAAGTGATGAAACACCTCCAACTGCACCACGGTGTTAAATCTGGCGGCGACAAAGATAAGATATCGTGCCACTGGGACGGCTGCGAGAAGGAGATACAGAAGGAGAGCATATCGCGGCACATCGTTACGGTTCATTTGAGCGACAAAACGAAATGTGGTGGTTGTGGAAAGCAGTATACTCGGTTAGATTCTAAGCTGCGCCACTTGAAGCGTTCAAAACGAAAGGATTGTAGAGAATCCGAACCCCATGACAGCCGTGTCAAACGCCTTCGCCTGTCGTGGCCATGATTTTCCCGTCGGATATCCTTGCAGCTTATTATTCACATTACCGAGGACAGCACAGCACCGCTGTGCGTGTATGCTCATTTTTGTTACATTAGTTGGATCTTGATCTGTGGACGTATGTACTGCCGAACCTATGCTTTACCATCTTTTGTTCCTTCAATGCACTGCCATATCGAAGCAAGCGGAATGACCTAAGCTGTAGGCGTCAAATTCAGGCCTTGGAAGGCGGTTGAATGGGACTGAAACTTTAGTATCTTCAAATTGATATAAAGACAATCAAATAATTTAATGGTCGACATTACAACGAATCCAAGGAGAAAAGACGCAATTTCCGGTGCAAATAGCGCAGATCAACTAAGTAGGAGTACACGGTAAGACAATTCATGATCACTGATGACGGACAGGAGCTATAGGGAGATGCATATACTACTTGTCTCGCGGAAGCCCGACTTGACTCGACTCTGGATGTGCTTCTACTATGGTGGAAAGCGAATACATGCCGCGAGTTCCAGCGCATAAACGCTTGATGAAATTCCAGTGGTGAGCGCTTGAGCGCTAGCGCTGAGCATCTGGCGCGCGGACGACAGAATCATGGCGGATTGGCTTTTAAGGGCTGGCCTGAGGGCCCGGCCCGGAGGCCCGGACGGACATAAGAATTGATTTCTGCGTACCAGTAGAGCAGTAAGTTGCTGCAGTCTCATGCGTTTTGGAAGATTTGGATTCACGTACCGTTTTCTACCATCCAAAACACAATATTTCCGCATCATGACACCAAACTACGAATCCTGGTCAAAGGGTGAGCTGATCGCACGTCTCAGAGAGCTGGAGGCAAAAAACCACCCCAAGTCAACTCATTCACCTACATCTAAAAAACCATTTCATTTTTCATCCCACCCGAAGCGGAAGATCGCTATCAAGTTCTGTTACTCGGGGTGGGAGTATAATGGGTTGGCATATCAAAACGGTCCTACGCCTCTTCCAACGGTCGAGGACGTCTTGTTCAAAGCCTTTGTAAAGGCAAGGCTCGTCGACGAAACTGGCGGCTTGGATGGGTGTGGATGGGAGAAATGTGGAAGGACAGATCGAGGAGTGAGTGCTGCTGGTCAGGTAGTTTCGTTATGGGTTCGAAGTGCTCTCCCCACCGAAACTTCTTCCAAGGTAGCATCATCACCGTCGTCTGAGGAGGACCTATCCACGGAGGACGCTCCCCAAAACACCTCACTCCAGTCTTCTACAAAACACGAGCTCCGCTACGTATCCATACTAAATCGCTTGCTCCCTCCAACAATCCGCGTCTTAGCATGGTCTTCCATTTCCCCCGATTTTTCCGCTCGATTCAACTGTAAACACAGACATTACAAATACTTCTTCACCTCTCATGGACTCGATGTATCTCTAATGCAATCAGCTGCAAACCATCTCGTCGGCGAACATGACTTTCGCAATATGTGCAAGCTTGATCCAGGAAAACAAATCACCAACTTCCACCGCTGTGTCATGCGCGCACAGATCAATCCGCTCTCTCCAGAGTCTGATGGCGATAACCGAGTATACGTATTCGATCTCGTAGGATCTGCTTTCCTATACCATCAAGTTCGACATATCATGGCTGTCCTTTTCCTCGTCGGAACAGGAGTTGAACAGCCATCCATTATACCAGCTCTTATGAACGTCTTTCATGCAGAATCAGACTCATCAACTAAGTCTCCGTTGCCACTGGTAGATCGCAAACCCGAGTATCAGATGGCAGACGCCCTTCCTCTCATGCTCTGGGATTGTGCATACGCAGATTCGGATGTCACATGGCAAACAGACGGCGACGGTACAGAGAGTGGTACCGGCTCAGAGCTCTATCATCAACTCCATTCTATCCATCAACGCTCCCTCATCCACACAGTCCTAGACGAGCACTTCCTCACAGCTGCCACTCAATATAATTCTCCACCACCTCAATACTTCCCTTTCAGTCAGACAGGACTGACGCCTCACACGCTTCCTCATTCGACCTTGGGCCGAGAACCGGTCCTTGGTGTCCCACTCGGCGCAGGGACATACAAGCGCAGCGCAAGGTACATTCCTTTGTTGGAGAGGAAGAGACTTGATCACGTCGATGTGGCCAACGAACGATGGCGAATAGGCAGGGGGAGCAAGTATAGCAAGCAAAAGACGCCGGATGATGGAACCGAATGAACGCGCGCTTGTGTATGCCGTTTCGCGGTAGGCTATTGGGTAGTATGCAATCTTGTACTTTATGTACTTCGACCGGTACATTTTGATTATATTTCTGTACTACACTGTGTCCATATACCCAATCCTACCCTTTTCGCATACGATTATTTCCTCGTTTCCCCGGTGACTGCGCGCGTTAAATCCGTGAGTCGGCGAAGAAGTGAAATAGTGAAAGTACACAAAGGAAATGTTTATTGAGGCAGATAGCTTTTCGGGTGAAAGCCCTGAAGGGGCCACCCGGCCCCGATGGCGGCCCCAACCTATGCGAGAGAGAGCCGAGATGAGCTGCGATTCCCAGGTGTTATGAGTGAGAGCGACGCAGCGAAGTGAACATCGAATCCCAAAATTGTAGGAGCTTCAGAGCGACGCTTCGTGGTGAGGGAAGCGGTGTTGGAAAGAAGAGATAGCAGCTTGGGGGCGTCCGCGTGAGCAATGTTGCGGGCATCTGCGTGAGCAAAAGTGCGGGCATCCACATGAGCGAATATGTAGGCATCCGCGTGAACAAGGTGCGGGGAGGAGCAACGGAAGAGATACAGTAAAAACCAGTATGCGGGGTAGTCTACTTCACGTCGAGGTGAGTGAGCAGATAGTTCCCTCCCCTTATCAGGTTCCCTGCCCTAATGGGCGACAAGGAACCCGACGAGAGCAAACTTCCTGCATGAGTAAACTTGAGAGGGCGGCGCAGGAACGTTTTGGATGCCCTCTACCTATGGCCAGCTTCCCCGCTGGACTTGTCTTCATTGCATGCGGATGCGTGCAAGGATCCAAACCCTTAGAGCCCACCGTGTTGCCAGGTAGCCGGCAAAGATAGCCTAGAAAATAGAAACCAGGCCAATAAAAATTTGGGAGTCACCTATAGTAGGGTCATGAAAATTTCGACGAGGAGAGGAAACACGGAAAAAAGAAAAGCAGAAGGCAGCAGGCAGGTTTGAGCCTGCTGGAGCGTGGTGCGGAGGCCACGTGCTGCACTGCTGCTGCCGCACTAATTCTAACCCTACATTCGTACTTCGCTTCGGGGTAGAATATCAAATAACTCAACTGATACTTCAGCGTCACGAATCGATCATGACAGCCTAGCGCATATAATTCTATATCAACAACAACAGAGAGGAATTGACAATGTTCGTATGCAGAACCAAGAATCGACAACCCGACCAAGTAGGCAACTGGTATGTGCGAGGGGAAGAGAAGACAATGAGGAAGGCAGAACCGACTAAGTTATGAGAAGCCGCAGGTCCAAGAACGTCAACTCTGTTAAACCAAAATCGAAAACTGTGCCCATCTCAGTCAACTGAAGAGGGGATTAACTAAAAAGAATGTCTGAGTTTTGCATAATGGTTTCCCGATTGCTGGAAACTCACATATCGCATAGCATGCGAAACATCGCAAAAGAGTGGTGGCCATTGTCAGATAGATGCTTGACCTGGGATGATAAAGAAGTCTGCTTGAAAACATTCCGGGTTTTCATGGCGATGCTTGGTAGCGGAGTCTTTCCTGGCTGGCATCGTCATGTCGCAGAGAGAACATTTGAATCTGATACCAGCGTGCTTCATGATGTGACGCCCAAAACTCTGGAACCTCAGCTGATCTTCACAGCGTCCATGAGCTGTAATCCAGAGGCAATGATAGGTTTCCTTGTTGCTAATCCCAACACCATGATCTTGACGCAGGTGGACGAAAATATCTTTGGGTGTGGCTTGAAGCTCATCGCCACAAAGCGCTCCTTCGTTATCCCACTGACAAAGAAATGCGCCATGGTACTTATGGGAACGGTCATTATGGTATGGCTCGAAGCGACTAGTACCACGCGGAAGGCGAAGTGGTAGGTTATCGGAGATGTCATGGAAATTTGCAAGCAAGTCGTCTTGCATCTGAAGAATGGGAATGGGGGCGGAGGGTCTAGGGATGTTCATTCCCATTATCTGGTTGTTCGTCAAGTAAAAATCCGTGTACATAGAACCTAGGTGGGGCACAGCCAAGTTAGGAGGGTATATTGATGATCATGAATATTCTCACCAGACCACGGATAAACCAGAGGACGACTGGGCTGTGGCGCGTGTAGTATATGAGTAGGCCATACGGGACCATCAACCACAATTCTGTTTCGACTAGAGCAACCAAGTCTTCACCAGTGAATGCTAAAATTATGGAGAACGGACGCACCTCTCGAAAGGAACAGTGACTAAATGATCTGAGTCATCAGTAGGCACCAAACCACCACGCGAACCTGCAGATTGGTAGGCAGAGACAGACGTGTAACGATATTCAAAACCCTCTAGCGGATCACTAGGTTCAGAAAAAGAGTCAAAGGAATCCATCAATACCACTCAGCAGACGATGTTGCTCGGTTTAAAGAGAGGAATCGAGCATTGTAGGCAGGTACTCGCATGTTTATCATTACGACATCTACAATGCCAAGTTATGCTGGATACACAGCAGCGGAGGGGTTCTGTAGGGACATATCATAGAATGCAGCTATAGAATGCTGGCATGAAAAAGTTCTGTAGGTATCATTGGCAGGGGTGAACGTGCCAGATTGCGGAAAGCTACCGATGATTTTGCCACCGGTCACTACTTCATTTCCTAGAAACTGCGAGGATGTTTATCTTCATGAGCAACAAAAGTCATTTTGGCGTCACCCTTGGAAGTTGGAATAGTTGCACTGCCAAAGTCCCAAAGACGTATGAGGCTTTGAGGCTTTGCCAGTCTAGGTCGCGGCAGGCTCCAAGTCAAAATATTAGATGATGGAGACGGGCCAACAAGGGAAGCAACGTTGTAGTTGCCAGAATGAGTGCGTGCCATATCAGTGGACTGTTAATTAATGTTGATGACATAGAATTGAACTGAGATTGACTTGAAAGTAAATGATCCGGAGCCGTGTGCTTGGTGGTTTCCAGCATCAGGAGAACTAGTAGGTTCTGTGCAGAAATATTGCTGTATCGGTATCAGAGGCCTTTAAATTTGAGGGAGTGGAGCATAACGTAAAAACGTGAGAAACATACACTTGATATACCTAAGATATACCGCCACTCAGAATTCCCCCTTATTGACGACAAAAAGATCCAGGTAGCGGTCTCAAGATTCGGTTTATGTAATCAGACACCCAAAATGTAGGGTGTGCACAGCATGACTCGGAGATCTTGAGAAGTTTCAGTCATCGGGGGTTTCAACGTTTTACCTCTTTTCAATCAAAAGCAGATCTGGACCTGGCTCTCCGCACGCTTGTATAGCTTCATGCCCATGCCAACATCGTGTTCTGAACTTCTAGCATATCCTTGCCATGTCCCTAGCTCCGCCAGTACTATGGCCCTCCTCTCTATCGGATTCAATCGCTGGATCCGGAAGCTCCGGTTCATGTGCGTGAACATGTTGGAACTGCTCTCATAATTTATCAGAGCAGAAGGAGATAAGAACAACAGATTTCAGGCAATTCCGGGCCCTTGGTTTCGACTGTCGTGTTGTGAGTGGTGATGAATTATTTGTATAGGGTACTTACTCCGCATACACGGCCATATTCATGTGCGTAGCACCAATTGATGCCAGCGACAAAGAATACATCATAACCTCGAGACTTTTCGAGCTATCCTTGTTATTCGCGACCGTTTTGGGCTGTCTGTGCAGTATGGCGTCCAAACACGATGTTGCTGTAAAATCACAAGCACTGGATCGGCCCCACAACAAAATACTCTGACCGGAGATGTCTAGTCTCCATTAGACTAATGAAGATAACTGTTCCTTCTAGGAGTTGCAATTAGGGCTACTTGCGAGCAGTGTTCCATTGTTGTTCACCGGCTACCAAGTGAGTCCGTGAGTTCGGGCCTTTTGATTGGCGCTCATTACAGTGTCTGCCGATTTGGTGTGTCTTCGGGTGATAAACTGTTCTCACATAACTTCGATTCTAGCCATCTAATTCTGCCAGTGGTTAGACGTAGAAGCTATAGCGCACTGCAGGGTGCTAAATATTCAACACTGTTCAAGGAATATCCTCTCTTGTACTCCCCCTGACGCTTGTCTGCCTGTGTGCCACAGTCCTGAGGTACGAGTTTTTGTTTCCGGATGAGCCTAGCATACATAACTCATTCTTATTCCTGCTTTGTACAGTGCCACATGTACCTTACTTCACTCATACAGACATTCAGTTGCACAAGACGTCGAAAAATCCCGGACTGTATTGGCATCAAATTTCTAGAATGTTTTCATCTCTATTTTGTACGTACTAAGTGCAGGCTCGAAGTGATAAGCTTCTGCACTGATTTGGATGTTGGCCGGTGTGACATAAAAGTAGCCAACGACCCCTGGCGACGTGCGTATGTTGTTTTTCAGACACTCAACGCCAATCGGACATGAAGAACAGGTTGAATGCTGCACGGCATGATGTTCTCACCGAGCTGGCAGGTTTAATGACGCTTCCTGGTTGGCCTCATGAGAAAAAACTTTTGTTACTGTGGCAAAGAACTTCTTCTGTAACAGGAACGAGGTGCTGTTGGCCACCACCGCGGTGTTGTATTTGTCCGACAGACAGATCTTTCGGGGATCCTTCATGTCTTTACCGTGACACGCTCAGTGTTCATGGTCGCCGTCTGCTTGCCAAATTTACGTCCGACTTTCTGTATCCTTACGCCTGACCGGCGTCATAGTCTCCGAGAAAGATGGGGTCGAAGCGGAAATGGAACGGAGCTGGACCTCCAATCCGTCGCATGTAATATACCTAGTCACAAGAGGTGCGTTCGCAAAATCCCGAATATACTCTTTAATTCACAGCCACTAAAATTTTCTCGGGGACTGCTTCTGAGGTTCTCGACAGTCTCAACGCGTTATTTGCATTATCTGTCGTCGAAGAACTCAAATTAAATACACCCGACTCGCTTCTCCGGCTATTCAACGCCAACCAACTGGGAATCAATGCTAGCCCTCAACAGAGACGGATTATGCGCTGTCCCGAGTGCAGCGAGTGGTGCCAATCGGGTATCGTGACTTCCGTTCATTTGTGTTTAGCAGGACAATTCAGATCGTTGAGCAACCACAGAGGCAGCAAAAACAGCCTGCAGGTGGGAACGTTTCTGATGAGCCAATCTTAGTCTCACATCAGATCAAAGGTGCGTTTCATATCGTTTGATTGATCAATAATATTATGTCATTGATATCAGGGATCCGGTTATTCCGCTTCCGAGGGCTCGAGTTCGAAATCCACTGGTAAACGTCGTACCATTTAGCCTGCAGCCTCTCTACCTTCTAAACGGGCTCGTACTGCTATGAAACTGCTGCAGATGACCACTATTCTTGTTTGATGTCTTGTCCTCCTACTTTGCTTTCATATCTGCATAGTTGCATGCTTTCATATTCAGCTTTATGGTACTGTTCACTCGCTGCGGTCACGATACGGATCGGATATGTCGTGTTGCAATTGCAGTTTTGCTTGTTGTTCATCGTAGTCTCGCTCAATACTCTCGGATCAGGGACACATCTATATGTGAGCACTTCCACAGTTCCACTGCATTACACAAGTTCTCAGTCCAACATGCCACCAATGCCACCAGTGCGACAAAACTGTCCATCACGGCGTATCAGCCTGCCCGCCTATGCCAGATGCACATGTTCCGCATGCTAGGCACCCCATCAGTTACGCAACCGCAGCCGCTACTTCATTTCATAGCAAGCGCCCGCAGACGATGAAGAAGACGGATGAGCAATGCACTCACATCGCATCTGCTTGAACCAATGGACACAGCATATCTCAGCACGTATTTTCTACCATATAGGGCTGCGCCCCTCTGGATGTTTTTAGTAAAAGAAATCGGCATTCTCGACTCCACAACAGACCTTCATAATAGTACTCTATTGTATAAGCTGGTAGCGCCAGCTAAAGTGGCAAAACCCGCTACCTTATCCTTTTTTTTCTCACATGCCTACTAGGGGTCGGCGTTACCGACTATTTGCCTTGCTCCGGCTTTCACCGAGTTTTCTCGTCCCCAATTTTATTTATGCAAACACCAATACTACTACACTCCATACTTAGAGATACAAGTACATTTATCGGAGAACTATGACTTAGTCTTTTGAACCACTTGCTTCAGTCTCAGTAATTAATGTTGTGGTGGACCGCACCCAGTCTCAGGATTGTTACGTGTTCCGCAGTGGTTTGGGAAGTGTCATGGTCTACTTAAGGGTTGAAATGTCAGAGATTCAACCCATGATCGCGCCGCAGGAGGATGGCTCTGGAAGTGTACCAGAAACAGTACACGAGAGAGCTAGCACTCTGATCACCGGACGCTGGGAGAGCGCCTCCTGCGAGAGTGTGCTGACGAGCGATGAGGGGTGCTGAGGATCAATGACCGCTGGACTTGTGAGAACAGGTATCCGATGTTACGCACTCGCCATGAAGTAAATGTTGCAACAACAACTTGCATCGCTCTTGTAACTCATGGGACTTCTTGAGTTCCAAGCTGTGAAAAGCACATGCCTGATTGAGCAGTGACACTTCAGATGAAAAGGGCCCAATGCTGATTCCAGAATGCGACGCCCCAAAGAATATATTATGAACAATAGATTGTGAACGTCTACGAGACGATGAAACTGCCCCGACGAGGGACGAAGACTGGGATTTAGCAAAATCATAGGTATCAGCAGCTTCAATATGCTTTGCATCACCACTGACTATACAGGTAGTTTCTGATGCAGCCAAAGATCAATAGACATAAGAAAGGAACAATAAGATACAGTCACCTTGAAGGGCGGATGAAGAGCTAAAGTAGGGATTGTGGACGGGATTCATGTCTTCGTGGCCGACTGTGTGCCACGCAGCAATCCAATTCATCCCAATCAACAGCATCAGAATCGAGACTAGACGCGATCTCGAACTCAATGTCGGTCATGAGCGCGTGAGCATGATAAGAAGCCGTGAGAACATCACTGAAACGGGAATCTGCCAGTGGGACCGGATGACCAAGCAAATGCGCGACCGCTGAGGTCACATAACAACATGGAGACTCAGAGTCAAACGTGACAGATACAGGATGATGCGACGACCGATAAACGACACCATGGTGGAGGTTAGAGATGGCGCTCCAATAAACGTCGGAGAGGAAAAAAGAGCAAAGACTGAGTACTGAGTACTGAGTGCTGGAAGGCCTAGACCGATTGATCAACACAGCATGTAACCATTTGAAGCGAAAACACAGCCACGGCAAGATCTGTCGAATCTACCGCAAAACGGAGAAATTAGTCACCTGTGACTCCCACATAACGGCTGTAGTTACAGGTGATAATAAATGGGGTTCGCACCTCTAACACGAGGCAAATACAGTCAATCAGCGCCTCCTGCAATATCTCTCCAATAGCGAGGGACTTTTACACAGCGCTGTAGGATCCATAGGCTCATACCGGGACTGGGTGCCGCCGGCATAACGGCAAATGCCGTGACGTGTTGCTGACGTCGTTTAAGATCCGAGCTCGCTGTGCGACACGATGAGCTACCACATTTCGATATCTCGCGCCCAGATGAATGTATTGACGGCGGGTTTCGACGGCCCATGCGCGAGTGACCATTAACATACGTAGATCTGTCTTATGTGTCCATAGAATGTGTAAATTAAGCTATACTACTGCTCATCGGCGTGATCATGAAGTTCCAGTCGCGAGAGATCATCAGCAACACGGAGCACATCCTGCAAACTTCTGGATGCCTCCTCTTCCACCTCCTCTTCCTGCTCCTCCTCATCTAACTCATCCGGAGTATCCGGCGCCACTGCAGGTCGTCTAATGTTATCAAAAGGTAAGTGTTCTACCAGCAATTGTGATGGGATCTGCGCATTCGGTGCACTGGAGCTTTCTCCGAGACCTGTATGAGTGCTTATACCTGGGGATATTGTCCTGGTGAAGCCAGGAAGTGTCGATATCTCATGGACCCGCTTTAGGTGGCGTGAGTTGAACCGTCCTCAGACGTTTCGATGTATAGCGACTTGATGGGCAAGAGTTGGACTGACAGCCTTCAACTGATCCTCGCACGCCCGCAGGTATTTGTCTTCGTCTCGGATGTACGTCACTAGGCGCCGTACCTCCACGTTCAAGCGTTGAATTTCCTCCCGCGCCCAGCACATCTTGAAATACAGGTCCATCGCCCTGCGAGCAACAGGCGATGCCCAAGGCCGTTGAGACACGTCTGCACGCGTGTCGCGTAAGAGGTCAAAGTCGGCTAGAAACGCATACTCCACGACCTCATCCCACTTAAGCGTTTTGCGGGGAGGGTGCATTGCCTCGGCGATGGCATTGTATGTGTTGAGGGCAGTTCGGATGGCGATGGAGCGTGTTTGTAATGCCTTGGCGATGTGTTTACGTAGCTTGTAGCCTTGAGTGATATTAGAATCAACACGCAAGCAAGACATCGTCTAAAAAAACTCACCTGTAGCTGCCCGGTTCATCCTTGTCAGTTCAAATATGCGCGCGACGATCAGTCCTTCGAGGCGATCCAATGCACGTTGGTACTTCCTATGAGCAACGAGCCTCCCCACCCTCTGCCAATCTGCATCCTCAGGGGTCCAGCGCATCGTGATCTCGAGTTTGCGTTCGAGTGCTTGAACAAGTTTCAAATTCCTCTCATGGTCCTCGACAGCGTGACATCGTGCAGTCTCCGCTTTGCGGGTATCTCGCATCTGAACGTCATATGACGCGGCCTCATGGTGAGAATAGACCTGAAAGGCTTCCATTGCAGCCTTAAGAGCCTCACTAAGCGAATGAAGTGTCAGTTAACACAAGACTTGTATGCCTTGGAAGCTACACTCACTCGCTTGCGGTGAAATTTACCAACTTCTGCCAATACTCCATCTGCAAGGTCTCATCTTCAGGTTCTCGCGCTAGACCTTGGAGGTAGGTCTTCTCTTCCTCTAGCCAGCGCTCAAAAATGCTCTCGTCCGTGAGTCCCAGATCTTGCATGAGCTTCGGTAGAGTTGTGTCGCCATCGTTCAAGATGTCCAGTGCTTGTTTGTAGTTACAGTACAAAAAATTGGCTAATACAATGATTATGTCAGCTAACGTTCGATTTATGTACTAGCTATACTTACAAAGATTAGCGTAGACCTCAAAATTGTCGTTGTGCTCGAAATAACAGTCAATAGCCTGCTGCCGATGGAACACACTCGCATAGCGTAGCGCAGATGCCAGCGAATTCGATTTCGAGAACGTTCGTTCACACGTTTCAAGATCCTCGAGGCCCAGACCCTTGATGTACGTTGTGAGTGAAAACAGCTGGCACAAGCGCCTGTGAGCATGTCCGTGGAAGGCGCCAACCAGGCAGGTGTGTTGAAGCGAGCGAGCGAGTGGTCCAAGTGAGCTGTTGTCGAGTGTCGTCTTAAACTGGCAACCAATGTCGTACCCACTCCCTAATTGTTTCCCGAATGCATCCAGCAACTTTGCAACGACAGCAAGGGGATACTTTGCACTATCCAAACACTCATTAATAGCTG